CATCTGGGACTGGAGGCGCTCCACATCGGCGCAGGAAAAGGTTACCCAGGCAGATCGACTCTCAACAACATCACTCTTTTTCCTGAAGAGAGCTTGCGAAAGAAGCACCCAGAGCTAGGGGCTTGTTTTAGGTGTAGATGGATCGCTAGGCGCCTGGCAATTCAACCCACGGCGCGCGTTCTAGAGCGTGGAAATATGTATCCCCAAACTGAAGCCGCCATCATGTAGTATACGCATAGGGGGATTTGCCATGTCCCCTCTTAGCTCGCTCGGAAATCAACATGCTCTTCCCATCCTTGAACGTACGATAATTGGTCTTTCCCTCTGATTGCCATGGTGAAGATCGCGTGATTCGTGGGCAAGTAGGCAGGCCAGTCCCCAGGGAGGTTTGGAGTATATCTACTTAGTTTCCAAGTCAGGCTCTGGTTGTCATCTGCCCCAACCTCAAGAACCCTTTGTACCTTTCAACCCCTCTCCCTTCTCCTGTTGACTATCTTCATCACTCCCTGTCCACAGGATGGCGCCTCACGTTGAAGAAGAATTCATCACGGCCAGCGTGACGAGCGCTGCCAAGAAAGAGACGATCCCAGAGACGAATGAATTCCTCAGCAATGGCACCAACGGACACAAGGCAGAGGAGTTCTGGTACCCCCCTTACGTGCCAAAAGATGCTACTTACCGCGTTCTTCCGCAATACCACTCCAAGCCTACCAAAATCCGTACCATTTGCGTTGGTGCTGGCGCCACTGGAATTGCGCTGGCATATAAGATGGAGCGGATGCTTGAAGAAGGCTCTTGGGAACTCACTCTCTACGACAAGAACCCTCACTTTGGTGGTACGTGGTATGAGAATACCTACCCCGGAGTAGCATGTGATGTAAGTGACCCCAAATACATCTAATACATTCCTGTTGCCCCCGTGTAAGAAGATTCGTCTACTGACATTTTTCAAGATCCCATCTCACCTCTACAACTACTCATGGGACCCCAAACCAGACTGGTCGCGATACTACGCCCCCGGCGACGAGATCCAGAAGTACTTCGAGAGCTTCGTCGAGAGACATGGCACCAAGAAATACATGAAGCTCAACACCAAGGTGATTGAGGCCAAGTGGCAAGAGGACATGGGCATGTGGAACGTCACCCTCGAGGACCAGACCTCCAAGGGCACCTGGCAGGACTGGTGCCACGTCCTCATCAACGGCACCGGCATCCTCAACAGCTGGAAGTGGCCGGATATCCCCGGCCTCGACGACTTCGAGGGCCCCAAGATGCACTCGGCCGCCTGGGACCACTCGGTCGACTTCAAGGGCAAGACTGTGGGCGTCATCGGCACGGGCAGCACGAGCGTGCAGATTGTGCCGTCGCTGCAGCCAATCGCCAAGGATCTCAAGGTCTTCATGCGGTCCAGCACCTGGATCAGCCCGCCATTGTGAGTATTTACCTCCCCAACAGAATCTCAGGAGGGTGGCGCTAATAATCTGGCAGTGGAGGGGGCGTCCTCGAGAAGGAGCTGAAGAAGGGTGAAGGTGGCGATCAGCCGGGAAACCGCCAGTACTTCTTCACGGAGGAGGACAAGCAGAGGTTCCGGGACGACCCAGCCTACCACCTCGAGTTCCGCAAGCGCATCGAGGCAGAGATCAACTCCCTCTTCGGCATGTACCAGCAGAACTCGGAGATGAACAACGCCTTCCGGCAGGTGATCACCGACGAGATGAACCGGCGCATGGGGCCGGGCCACGACAAGCTCAAGGAGTTCATCATCCCCAAGTGGTCTCCCGGGTGCCGAAGAATCTCGCCCGGGGATGGGTACCTCGAGGCCCTGGTCCAGCCCAACGTCGAGCCCGTGTACGGCGGCATCGAGAAGATTGTCAAGGAGGGCGTGGTTGGGGAGGACGGGACGCTGCACAAGATTGACATTCTGGTGTGCGCGACGGGCTTCAACGTCGCCTTCAGACCCCGGTTCAGACTCATCAATGGCGCGGGAAAGACGCTGGATCAGGATTGGGATGCACTGTCGACTGGTGGTGTGAATCTCTACTTGGGAACCAGCGCGCCGAGGTTCCCCAACTACCACGTTATAGTTGTAAGTGCGACTCTGGAGGGGTAATGGCGTCTTATTTCTTGTTTTACTGATGGGAACTACAGGGTCCGGGTGCGACATGGAGCTCTGGGACGTTGCTGCCCTCGATCGAGACGACTATCGAGTACGCCGTCAAGATGATGAGGAAGATCCAGCACGAGAACATCCGCTCCATCAGCGTCAAGCAGGAGGCACTCGATGACATCTACGCCCACTTCGACGAGTTCCACAAGACGACCGTCTTCCAGGAGGAATGCCGGAGTTGGTTCAAGGACGGCAAGATGAAGCAGAGGATTTACCTGTGGCCAGGATCCGTAAGTGCACCCCCCTCTCATAGTGCTCGTTGCATCGCCACTGCTATTTTGATGGCTTCCCCTCTTTCGGCTTCACCTGCTACCCTCCACGCTGCGTCAGTGACAAAACACGGCTGCTGTGTGGGTTGCAGTGACCTTCTAGACCACTACCACTCCGATATGCATTACCATGCAAATTCCCATTTGACCGAAGGCTGACATCCCACTGCCGTTTATAGACCATCCACTTCCTCAAGTCAATCAAGGAACCGCGATATGAGGATTACGACATCAAGTATCGGTTCGGCAACCGGTTCGCCTTTCTTGGAAATGGGGAGGTCAAGGCGAACCTGACCAACGACTGGGAGGGGCTGAGCACGTACGTGAGGGGGAACGACAATGACTGGAACGTGGACTGAAGGGCGAGCTACGCACTGTACCATATTACGAGGGGAGCATGACCAAAGAAAGACTTTTTGTCGATGGGATTGGGGGAGATGAATGGGAGGGTGAGACTAAAGTATATATGCAAGCACGCATGAATGAGGGGAGCCTTGCTTGAAGTTTTATTTAGTCAATTGATGCGATCCAAAGCCGACGCCATGAGCGAATACCAACTGTGCGAGAAAGTTGACTCAAGAACGGAGCAAGTTCTACAACGGTCTGTGTGACTTCATCATGTCGACATAAGGTCACTGCGATGGAACATGCGCATCGGGAGGGGGACAGGGGCCAAAGCATGGAAATCATCAATCTCACAAGCGAATGGTTGGAGCAATAACCGAAGAAACTGCGTGGATGGATGGGGGAACGAATGTGTAGGAGAGGACATGGACCAGGTATGAGCGAGTATCGGCGACCCTCCAATGAAGCACCGCGTGCATGTCATGTTGCCTTGCAGATCGGGCAGCAAACGAAAGCGAGCGGAGGGAGGGCAGATTGATTATGTGTTCATCACTCATCAACCGGCGAGTCAAGCTCTGCAACCCTTTGGCCAACGACCCGCGGGGGAATAGGCAGGGGATAAGCATGTAGGCAGCTTTGGTTCATGCGTCCCTCCTCCTAGAGAGCGGCATCCCTCCGGTCAGACTAAACCCTTTAGCCCAGGGCCGAGTTTAACCCCCTCACTGCAACGTGCGTGCGATATGCCGCAACCGCTCAGCTCACGACTAGGGCGCTCGATCTAGACTAGATCGTGGGGAGGGACGATACAACACGAGTCAGAAGCTGTGGGGGTCTTGATCCAGGGCTATTCATGGAGTCAGCCCTCCATGACGCCGGGGAGATGGCAGAATGCGGGGTTTGGGATGGGTAAGAGAGAGTGGAAGGCCTGGGCGAGGGGGGCCAGAGACTCCAGAGTCACATCCCCCATCTCCTGACCCTGGTGGAAGCACCAGTTCTGCACAGGTAGGAGATTCTGATTGGGGAAAGTGATAGTGCGGGTGGCCAACGCACTCGAGGACGAATTACGTCGTGCCCCCTTACTCCCAACCGGCTCAGCGAGGTGGTGTCTTGCTACAGTCCATCATCGCCAAGTCGCCTCTAACCCAAGAGATTTTACACTCTGGCCCATCCACGACCCTAATGCTTGACAAGGCCGCTAGCAGCAGCAATTATTTGTCTCACACCCTGTCCTGATCCAACAGTTGCTCCACCTCCATCCCACCACCCCTTTTCAACAAGACCAAAGTGCTACTACCCCAGCTTCTTCCCCCACCTCGTCCCACCCGGAATTCCTATTTCCACAGAGAAATAGCCGGGGCAATTTCCGGCAAATCGGTTTATCGTCGTTTGCTACCAACACGTCCCCTCTGACTGGCCCGCGGGTTCACACTTGTGCTCTGGCATCCCCTGGTCAGAACCCACCCGACCTCGCCTCTTTGATAAACCAGCACAATAGCACAGGCTGTGATATTGCTGGCGGACGCGTCGGCACAGCCCAACACAATCTGGGGCCCCGGGTCTTGGCGCGCCTCAGGGTGAATTTGGCTGTGGAGAATCCCCCGGAGATACTTGGGTCACACCTCGATCTTCTGGCCAGTCCACAGGCTACGGCCCATGGATTGGGAATGGGCCTCCTCCTCCTCCTCTGCTGCCTGCCTCCACCGGCCTCGCGAGCTTGTCCCACTGGGCTTGCTGCGAACTGGGTCTCGGTGGGCTGAAAGAGCCCGCCCCCGGACGCCAGTGGATTGGAACCCCATGACTTTGATTAGCTGGAATTGATCCGCTGTCGGACGTAGCGCCTTGCCTGCCTGCCTGACCGTCCCAATGGGTTCTCGTTACTGATCGTAGCGGGTTGCCCGGGGTTAATTGGAGCGAAGTGTGTCTGTGGGGGAAGAGAGGAAGCCATCCATGCCCCCAACTCCACAGTCCACACCTGTGACAACTTCAGCTCCCTCGCCCAGGAGGACAAGACCCTTTTCCCCATTTTCATCCTCTCCCATACGTGTGTGTGTGCTCCAATTACTGCGCAGTCTCTGCTGTCTAAATCTCTAAATCTCCATTATCAACTGGCGCTCGTCTTGCTTAATCTCCTAGACTAGAGTGACGCCTTTCTCATCTATCTTATTCACGGGGCGATCCCTGACACACTCGCTCGGTGTATCCCTATCAAACCCCATAACATGTCTGCCGAAGACACGAGGGACGAAGGTGAGACCATCACCCTCGCCGGACAGTCAAACATATCCCCACGCAATGGAAGCAGCGCAAGTTCCCGCCAGTCTGGACGCCAGCAGGTCCGTCATCGCGCCTCAGTAGCCTGTGCCTCCTGTCGCGATAGACGGATTCGCTGTGTCGTCCCGCAGGGTCAAGCAGAGTGCAACCAGTGCCGTAGATCTGGGACCGAGTGTATAATTAAGAATGATGATGAGCGAAGACGGTAAGCTTCATGTCATCACTCAATTGCTAATCTAGACTGCTCACTCTTCGTGTCTAGACCAATCTCCAAGGCCTACATGTCCTCACTCTCTGACCGGATATCAATGCTCGAGGGCATGCTCAAGGACAAGGGAGTTGTACCGCCTCCTGCCAGCCACCCTCCAAAGACCAAGCACGACCAGCAGACCAAATCGTCAGAGCCCCAGCAGAAGAAGAAGCGGTCCATTGACGGTGACCGCCAGAGCTCAATCGCGCCATCGTCATACCATGCTGCCTCGCCGAGTGTGCATGTCCCTTCGCCACCAGACTCGCGCAATGACGAACCAATGAAGCCGGACTTGGACATGGCCGATTCAATGGCCAGCGTGGATGAGATCCATTTGACTCAGCAGCAGCAGCAACAGCAGCAGATGCCCCCGCCATCGTTCCACATGGAGGGCTCACCCCTTCGCATGCTGGACCCCAGGCAGGAGGACATCGTTCACCGTCTGCTATCTAACAAGGCCAATCTCTCATTCGACCAGCTCTCCGGACGATTGCGCTTCTTCGGCCCCACGGCAAACAGTCACGTATACGCAGAATCACCGGACCAGTTCGACTCCCGAGAGCCCCCGGAGCAGGTTCGCAGAGCGGAACGCATCATTCGCTCTCTCAGCACGGCCACCTACGACTACCTCATGTCCAACTTCTGGGAATACTACAACTCGGTCATCCAGGTCATCGACCGGGAGGCGTTTGAAGCAGATCGCGACTCGCAGCACCCCAAATATTATTCCAGCTTCCTCCACATCTGCGTGTTGGCAATGGGCTATAGAGGATCGGACCAGACACGCGATGACATGAAGAAGATCTCGCTGGGGAACCGCGAGAGCACTCTTCATCGGGAGGCCAAGTACATGCTTGACATTGAGCTTGAGAGACCCGGGGGGATCCCGAGTGTTCAGGCGCTCTTGCTCCTCGGTGATCTTGAATGCGGGGTGGGAAGGGATAATACGGGATGGATGTACTCGGGTGAGTAAAGATGCTCTACAATGAGTTACCACAAGACAGTACCGGTACTGACACAAGGTCTACTATGATAGGCATGGCAAACCGACTGGCCTTTGACATTGGACTTCACCTGGACTGCCGCACCGACGGCATGCCAGAGCAAGAGGTCTGCACTCGCCGCATGGTGATGAGAGCGGCTGTCATCTACGACAAGTACTGGGCCTTGTTCCTCGGGCGACCCACGAGCATCAAGAGCCAGGATATCAGCATGGAGCTTCTCTCGGACAAGTTCTCCCTCCTCACCTCCGAGTATCTGCCATCGCCACTGGGACAGAACATGGTGACCGATATCTACGAGCAACTGATCGAACTGATGGAGCTGGCGGGCCGCATTGTAGAAACTCGCGACAGCCGTGGCCTCCGGAAGGTCGACCCAAACAACTACTTCTCCATGACCGAGGCAGAGGACAATGCCTATCTGCACGTGGTCAACCTCGATCGCCAGCTGCAAAACTGGTACCGCCGCCTACCCGACCACCTCGCGTGGAAGCCCGCCAACATCAAGACGGCCCCCTACAGCTTCTTCCTGCTTCACCAGCAGTACCACGTGTCCATGATCCTGCTGCACAGGCCGTGGGCCAAGTACGACACCGGCGACGGCTCGAGCGTAGGCTCGCGCACCGGATCCCACCCCAGCCCCGAGACCGACCAGATGGGCGGCGAGCCGGGCACGGCGCCCGTGGTCATCGACAAGGAGAACTCCATCGGCCTGGGCGACCCGCACTCCATGGTCCACGACAGCCGCGCGGCGCTCTCCCGCAGCATCTGCACGCAGCAGGCCATCCGCGTCTCCCGCATCTTCTGGCAGCACCGCCAGCGCTTCGACGGCCGCAAGATCTTCGTCACGGGCATCCAGCACGCCGGCACCTCGGCCCTCGCCCTCATCGCCGCGCTCGCCTTCCACAAGAGCGAGGCGGACCGGCGGACCTACATGGGGTACCTCGAGATCCTGAGCGACGCGCTCGGCGACATGAGCCACACGTATCATCCCGCCGCCCGTATGGACCATCTGCTCAAGGCGGTGCTGAACCAGGTCCGAATCAACCTGGGCGAGGACCCGCAGCAGAGCGCGATGCGAGGCCACGGCATGTTCCCCCTCGGCGGATCAGGCGACTTCGCAGCCCCTCCCGCAGTAGTGCCGTCCCGTCGGGAGGCTGTTGACTCACACATCGGCGGCCATCCAGCCAAGAAGCGAAGACCCGGCGGCGGTAGTAGGCGAGCGTCGGAGCTGCCGCGCCCTCCCCCGCCCTTTTTCTCGCAGCCCACGCCGCCGAGCTCATCCTACAGACATCAGCAGCAGCAGCGGCAGATGAGCAGCGTGTTCGGCGGCAGCGACATGAGCCACCAGCGGGCCGACTCCATGTCCTTCCCGCTGGGGAGCACGTCGGACGGCATCCACAGCTTCGACCTGAGCTTCCTCGACGGCTCCCCGGCCATCGACATGGACCTGGGCCAGGGCGCCTCTGGCCGGCCGGACGACATGGCGCTCGTGACGCCCTCGTCGGACATGTGGGGGTTGGGCAGGCTGCCTGGTGACCAGGACGGCGAGCCTCGCGGCGGGTTCGAGGCTCTGATGGATGACTTCGCGCTGGGGCCCGCGGGGCTGAGTGCGAGCTCGGTGCTGGGGCAGAACGGCAATGCAGAGAACGGGACGAAGCGGAATGAGGAGAATGGCCGCGCGCCGATGATGGATCAGGATGTGGCTGGTGGGATGAGTCCGCTGAGCATGAACAGCCTGATGCAGACGGTGGAAAAGGGAAACGGTGAAAATGAGGCGCAGCGGAATCACGATTTAGACTTCTTTAGCTTTACGTAGTTTGTTTGTAGCCTGGATATCAAATTGACCTTTGTATCAGATTCATGCATGTCTCAGGTTGCTTGCATTGATTTGGGAGGGTGTCATCCCGCATATTGGAATATTGCAATAGACGATGGGCTGAGCCGCAGCATGAGTGCGGGGTTTGCATTTGGGCTGCGTATGACGCCCAACTGGCGAGAATCATCACCGTCGCCGGCCGTTTGCTAACTACAGACAGGAATCATGGATGAAGGATCGTACAGAGATCTCGACCGGGGATACGAAGATCTTCACTGCTGCCCGATATGCGGTGTTAGAGTTGGTCCCGAGGGAGAACGCCCCGAAGACCGCCCGGCACTTTGGGCACACAAGTATCGAGCATGTGCGTACTACCAGCTACAGCTGAGCAGTCTCCCCATCTTCATCTAAAAGCTTTGCTAAGATTCTGCAGTGTATATGGATGAGTTCGCCCGCCTCAGACTGACCGAAGAGTGCAAGTTCATTGGCCCGGAACCCGCACACTTCTACCACATACACCCTGTCTCAGACACTGCTTTCCGGGTTAACGAGCACCTCGAGGCTCTTGGAGTCGCTAACCAACCTGCCTACAACAATCGAAGGGGATTCGTCTTCCATGCCCACTGCTGGTGCATTCTGAGCATGGCCAACGGCCCGTCGCCGATCCCCCTTCGGAGACTGTTCGATGTCTGCTCCTCTCTTCACATAGTCGGCAATACCCTCCACTGGGGCCATGACTATCAAGGGTTGCCCGGGTTCTCCGTCTCTGACAACTCTGGCGATGCACCGGCTCACGGGCTTGACGTGTCAAGACAGAGAGATTATATTGTTGCGTGTGACCCTATCCACGACTACCCTGCCGTGCTCTTCGGTCGTTATCCCGACGTCCCACCTGCTTGGCCTGCCCGCGCCATATCCAACTGTCGAAGAAACAGCGACGCGCAGGATCCCTTCTCTCGCCTCCCGATGGAGCTGATTCTCATCATCGCGGCACACGTCGAAACCACGGACGTCTTGAAGATGCGGCTGGCGACCAGGGAATTCTGGCCGCTCCTCCACGACGAAGCCTTTTGGAAGACGAGATTCGGCCCGGGGAGCGAGCGCGCCTGGCTCTTCAGCGTCTACCACGACTCAGAACACTCCTGGCTGTTCAACTCCTTCAGCGAGCCTGAACACCAGCGCTGGCTGGAGTACGGAGCGTGGCAGCCTGAAGACTGGAGGTCTCTGTGGCGGCAGACACGCCCGGAACGACTAGGCCCGGATCTCAACAATCTGCAAAGAGTGTGGGAGCTGGCGGAGGCCATCCTCCTTATTCTGCGCATGCGACCGGGTCCGACAGAGAATCACTCCCCTCTGCCTGAGAAAGCCGATGTGGGCTACTGGCTGAGATACCACGGAGAGATCCAGGAGCTTGTCGCGAGGGCCATACAGACCGGAGATGCGTACCGCTTCACGCGTGGCTGCCGGGAGCTCTACTGCATCCACAGCGAGGTGAGCAAGAGCATGTGCCGGCTCACCTTTTACTTCGTGGACATGGCCGGCTCGCGATATCTGGCGGGGCTGAAGATGACCGATCGTTCTGGGGCCGAGCGGCTCATGGGCTACGAGTCGTCGACCGCCGTGGAGTTCTGCCCGTACAACTTGGGCCGCACCTTTAGAGGGTTCACTGCTGGGTCGAACTTGAGGGGGATCGTGGGTGTCCGCGTTCACTGGAGCACACACGTGTCGGAATGGATTGGGGAGGCTGTTGAAGGTGGCAGAGCCCGGAAGATCTGGGTATCCAGGAGAGTGAGATATATGGAGGTTGGGTTTGATGTGAGTCAATCGACACGTCCTGGATTGAATCTTGCTAATGAAGGCGATGTAGGGATTCAAGATTGTGAAGATGCGCGTGCATTACCCTGGAACGACCGTCATCGACTCGGAGAAAGAAGCGGAGAAATATGCAAGATGGAAGGCACGCTTCGTCGATTGATTAGGGAAGCAACAGTATGCCACCCAGACATTGCTAACTGTCTTGAATGAGCATGTGAAAGGGACAAACGCATGATGTCGCCTCTTGAAGATGGAGCTTCTTTGACAGAGTGGCATAGCACGGAGATTACAGCATGAGCATTTCAGCCACGGCTAATGATGGCATATTTCCACATCGAGCGTAACAGGCGAACAGAATACGTAGCTAGAATATACAGGGATTTCTTAAATTACTATGGATCATTGTAAATCTAACAAATAAAGTCTCTCTCCTATGTATTAGAGGCGTGGTGCGGTGTTTGACTACCGTTGGACATTGCCCCTGTAGCGATAGTGCATGTCAGCTGTAACACCACTTCCATCACAAGCCATCAATTGATCAGCAGGAGCCAGGTTTCAAAGGCAATTCACATGAAGCAAATCAATTGTGGCATAGATTAATGCCATCCTTTTTATTTGCCTGTCGAACTCTCGAGCCAATTGACATTATTAACCCAGAACTTGAAGACGCAAGGCGATTCACTGCACCCGAATAGAGCCAACCATTAGCCCCCTCAGTGGGCCGTTACAGTGAATCAGTGACATGCTTCAGCATATTTATGCCCCGTTGCCCCGCTAATTAGAGCCCCGCGGCCCCTGGCAGCTCAGTCCAAGCCCTCCATCTTCTCCACGTCCACACCACCTTTGAAATTCCAGCAAGCTCCCACACCAATCACCCTCCTCAGCTGCCACACGCGGCTGTCACACCGGGCCGCCCCATCCAACTCGAGCCCTTCTTATTTTCTGGGTGTAACCTAACCGTCATCATTCCGGATGGCGGCGACCGAATAGGCAGGTTGAGAACTTCTAAGCGGCACTCCGACCTTCGAGAGCGGCAGGAGGGTCGCACGTAGCACGGCAAATCTCCAGTACTTGAACCGGCTGCCTCGCACCAGATCATACTGCCGCCATGGCGCAGTGGAACAGTCTTCTGCCTTTCCAGGGCATCCCTTCGTTTCAAAGCTATTGTTAGTCCTTTCTGCTTGCCTTATAATTTCCACTCCATGATGCGGCCTCTCCTTACACTGGCTGCAGTCGCTGGCTTCCAGTCCGGCTTTGTCACGGCGGTGAGCCTCAACGTCAGCGCCCTCACCTCGGGCGAGGTCGAGTCGGATTGGACGACCACGTACTACCCCAGTGCCGGCGAGCCCCTCCTGCTCGGCAACGATGGCGGTGCCTCGACGGGAGGTTTCCACGTGTGGGACCTGAATGGCGACTCGCCCCTCGAGGCAAGCAAGAGCCTTTTCACGGGGAGGGCAAAGCTCGTGTCCACGCTGTACGACATCAGCGGCAAGGATTACCTGGTGTCCATCTCCATGACTACAAGCGAGCTGTCCCTCTACGAGCTCCCTGCCGTCTCTAAGGTCGATGACGCTGGCTATGTTGCACTCGGGGACTGGTCTGCCTTGTGCACGTGGAAGAGTCCCAGCAAGAATAACTATATATTCATCTTTGGGAAAACCGAGGCTATTCAATTCCTCGTGAGAGAGGCTGATGATGCAATCCAAGTTTTGCGGGTAAAAATCACCTCACCTTCGCCTTGGCAATCCAACCCATTTCTGACATGCAAGCAGGTTCAAACATTTGATATTCCGGCTGAAATGGCCGGCTGCGCTGTTTCTCAGGCCGAGGCGAAGCTGTTCTTGTCACCTGATGGGGGCAGTAAGCTCTACGCCTTTGATCTGGCAGAGTCCACTAAGACACCCGAGCTCTCAGTGATCGGTGAAGTCGAAGATGAGATAACTGGCGTCACTGTGTATGTGTCCAAGAAGGGCTCCAAAGATTACCTGCTTGTAGCTCTGGAGAAATCTGTCTCTATCTACGAGTATCCGTGGGCACTTGTAGGCAGCTGGGAGGTGTCTGGCGTGGAGGAGCCCGAGATCCAGGGAATCAGCTTGTATCAAGCCTCCACGTCCAAATACCCAGAAGGCGCCCTCGCCTACGCGATTGAGGGAGAGGGTGTGCTCGGCTTCGGTCTTAGCAGCCTTGAGAATGCCCTGTCAGGGCTGAACATCGAACCAAACGTGGAGTACAACCCCCGAAATCTGGATGGATGCGTCAAGCATTCACCTATAACGGAGGCATGCTCCTTCAATGGATTCTCTTCGAATGGAACTTGCGATTGTCTTGCAGGATTCACTGGTGAGACTTGCGGCGAATTCAAGTGCGAAGATGACTGCTCCGGAAACGGCTCATGTATTGGCCCCGATACTTGTGAATGCAAGGAGGGCTGGGGCGGTCTGCACTGCTCTTTCTTACTCGTCGAGCCTAAATATGAGACTGATGCTAATGGGTCTGATGGAGACGACCCTGCGATCTGGATTTCGCCCAAATCTCCCGAGCTATCTCGCATCATCACAACCACCAAGGCCGGAGATGGTGCAGGCCTTGCAGTCTTCGACCTGAAGGGCAAGCAACTCCAGATGCACTACTCCAGCAAGCCGAACAATGTTGATGTCATCTACAATTTCCAAGCAGGCAATCGTACTGTGGACCTTGCCTTTGCCGCATGTCGCGGTGATAATACCCTCTGGTAAGAGCTCTAGGCGTGCTAAATGCGAAACAAAAGTTGTCTTGCTAATATACACGGATAGCATTTTCGAAATTACCAGCGAGGGTGAGATCAAAGACATCCCAGGTGGTATTCAGCCCTCGTATGCCGAGGATGAAGTGTACGGCTCTTGCGTCTACCGCTCCAAGAAGACGGGCAAGCAATACCTTTTCGTGAATGAGAAATCGGCACGCTACATGCAATACGAACTCATGGCGACTTCAAACGGTACTCTCCACACTGAGCTCGTACGTGAGTTCGTTGGTGGCTCAGGCGGGCAAGTCGAGGGCTGCGTCTCTGACGAAGACAACGGCTGGCTGATCCTTGGCGAGGAGCCCTCTGCCCTCTGGCGCTATGATGCGGAGCCGGATGGCAGTGAAGAGGGCTACAAGATTGCCTTTGTCGGAGATGGAACCCTCTACGGCGACGTGGAGGGCGTGACGCTCGTCCAGGGCAAATCCAAGGACGAGGGCTTCATCATCAACTCGTGCCAGGGCGTCAGCGCCTACAATGTCTACAAGCGCGCTGCTCCTCACGACTACGTCATGACCTTCACCATTACCGACTCTGCTGATGGTGGAATTGACCACGTTTCTAACACGGACGGGCTGGCTGTGGTGGGAGTCAACCTGGGATCTGAGTTCCCCAATGGCTTGCTGGTAGTACACGACGATACCAACGAGCTGCCTGGTGGCAAGGCGGCTGACCCCAACTCGAGTTACAAGCTGATCAGCTTGGACAAGATACTTGCAGCCGGCCCATTCAAGGACTTGAATTTGTTGGACGAGGTTGATCCCAACTGGGATCCCAGAGCTTAAAATGGGTTGCATTCCGGGCTCGTACACCCATCTAGGTCAGCTTCCGCTGCCTTTCATGGATCCGAATCGTTGCCACCATCAAACTCTATCCAACCTCCTGACCTTGGCAGCTTGGCCATGTACTCAAGGTAAACAGGACTGGCCCATCAGCGTGGGCTGACCGAGATACGGTGGGTAGCATGATCGCCGTGGCGGGCCGCGTGAATGGGAAATCGGGATGCTGGTGCTACCGTAAGACGGTCGGGCTGCATCGATTTTGCGGTGAACAGATCCCTGGGACAGTGGACCCTGGGACAGTGGAGAAATTGCCCCTGAGTGATCGATTCCACAAATACACGAGTTCTGTACCTTCGTCAGGGGTGGGTTACCTTCGGTAGGTGCCATGAGTGGTGTGCTTCGCTTGGTATCTGCCACACGCTCACGATTTACAGCCACCCAGCCCACGGGATTTATCCCATTTTCGGGCTAATGAAGAGCTGATAGCTACATGAATGAATCACATGTGTATATTGGATATTCGTAACTTTGTCCCCTGAATCCGGTCCCATAATTCACATGTCTGCCCCCAACCAATTGAAACATGTTGAGTCGGAGAATCAGCCCCATCCAAGGCGGGAAACAGCTGACATTGGTGGCTCATTGGAGGACCGTTACGAGCTCTGACAGTGATTCTGGGCCGCAGAGAATCAAATTCTGCGATGCCATTTTAAGCATAACGTAAGATCGGCCACCCAATCTCTCTGTTCTTTGTTCTTCCTCCCTCAACTGGAATCTTTTAATCGGCCTCCTACCATCTCCCTGAGCGGCAGACAGGTAGCTTTCAATCAATTACCTCGCCAGAAGAGAACGTCATTCTACCTAGCCCAGGACCCCAACCGAACGGCTGCATATTGTCTCAGCCTCACCTCCCACCAGACCGCCGGGACGATCAGCTCTACCCTCATCACATTTTCAAACCCCTCTTCATAGCCATCGCAGGCGGTATCAAAATGGCTCCCCGTACCAACGGATCTGGGCCGGTTCCGGCCGATGCTTTTGGTAAGTAATTTAGCAGCGCAAAGATCCATTACGGCGATGTGATTCATCTATTGGCGTGAACTGCCATAAAGTACTGACAGCCCCTCGGTAGATGTTCCTGCAGGTCTAATCGATGGTGAGTGCAACCTTCTCCAACGCCAAGCACCGGCCATCATCTGTTCTCCAACTGCTTTTCCCAGGGGCCCACGATGTAACTAACCAGTCATCTCTCAGCGCACCCCAGCAAGCCCCATCTAGAAGGCGATGGCCTCTCAGCATTTGAAAACTACAAGCGGCTGCATGAGCAGTCCATCAAGAACCCATCAGAATTCTGGGGATCGCTGGCCCGCGACCTCCTGACCTGGTCCAAGGACTTCGACATCGTCCGCCGCGGCAGCCTCGAGAGGGGAGACCTCTCCTGGTTCTTGGGCGGCGAGCTCAACGCCTGCTACAACTGCGTCGACCGCCACGCCTTCGCCACGCCCGACAAGGTCGCCCTCATCTACGAGGCCGACGAGCCCGAGCATGGCCGCGTGCTGACCTACGATGACCTGCTGCGCGAGGTCTGCCAGCTCTCGTACGTCCTCAAGGACATGGGCGTCAAGAAGGGTGACACTGTCGCCATCTACATGCCCATGGTCCCCGAGGCCATCATCGCCCTGCTCGCCTGCGTCCGCATCGGCGCCGTCCACTCCGTCATCTTCGCGGGCTTCTCCTCCGACTCGCTGCGGGACAGGATCAACGACGCCAAGTGCAAGGTCGTGCTCACGGCCAACGAGAGCAAGCGCGGCGGCAAGACGCACGCCATCAAGCACATCGTCGATAAGGCCCTCGTCGAGTGTCCCGCCGTCACCAGCGTGCTCGTCTTCAAGCGCACAGAGTCCGAGGTGCAGTGGATCCCGGGAAGGGACCACTGGTGGCAGGACGTCGTGAAGAAGTGGCCGGCCTACATCGCGCCCGAGCGCATGAACGCCGAGGACCCCCTGTTCTTGCTCTACACCTCCGGATCCACGGGTAAGCCGAAGGGTGTTCTGCACAGCACTGGCGGGTATCTGGTGGGTGCCGCCGCTACTGGCAAGTATGTGTTTGACATTCATGACACGGACAGCTTCTTCTGCGGTGGTGATATCGGCTGGATCACGGGGCATACCTACGTTGTATATGCGCCTCTCCTGCTTGGCGTGTCAACGATTGTCTTTGAGGGCAGCCCGATGTACCCTAATCCTTCTCGATATTGGGATATCATCGACAAGCACAACGTCACCCACTTTTATGTCGCTCCGACTGCACTCCGGCTCTTGAAGAAGTCGGGCGACCAGCATGTTACTGGAGACCGGGCCCATCTACGCGTGCTTGGATCAGTTGGTGAGCCGATCGCTCCTGAGGTTTGGAAGTGGTATTTCGAAGTGGTCGGCAAGGGGCAGGCCCAAATCGTTGATGTAAGTCATCCTCTCTCGCCCAAAAAAAAAAGCGGCTTCACGCTCGCTATCATTAATTGATCAAAGGCTCACCGCGCGGCAGACTTACTGGCAGACAGAAACAGGATCCCACGTCATTGCTCCCCTCGCTGGAGCCACTCCCACCAAGCCGGGCGCCGCCTCGTTCCCCTTCTTCGGTATCGAGCCGGCCATTCTCGACGCTGCCACTGGTGAGGAGATTGACGGCGCCAATGTGGAGGGCGTCCTTGCCTTCAAACAGGCCTGGCCGAGCATGGCCCGTACCGTCTGGGGTGCCCACGACAGGTATATGGACACCTATCTGAGGCCCTTCAAGGGATACTACGTAAGGAATCCGTGCTCCCACTTCCCCCCCCTTCTTCCAGATTTTGCGGCTAACTCAGAACTCACAGTACACCGGCGACGGAGCCAGCCGCGACAAGGACGGGTTCTACTGGATCGGCGGCCGCATGGACGACATCATCAACGTCAGCGGCCACCGCATCTCCACCGCCGAGATCGAGGCCGCCCTGATCGAGGACTTCACCGTGGCCGAGGCCGCCGTCGTCGCCGTGCAGGACGAGATCACGGGCCAGGCCTCGGTCGCCTTCCTGACGCTCAAGGACCACCGCGCCGTCACGCCCGAGATCCGCGACGAGCTGATCCTGCAGGTGCGCCGGACCATCGGGCCCTTCGCCGCGCCCCGGAGGATCTACGTCGTCGACGACCTGCCCAAGACGCGCTCGGGCAAGATCATGAGGCGCGTGCTGAGGAAGATCCTGGCCGGCGAGGAGGACCAGCTGGGCGACACGTCGACGCTGTCCGATCCCACCGTGGTGGAGCGGATCATTGCGGCCGTCCAGGCGGGTCCCATCTAGGTTATTTTTGCTTGGTGCCGTCGTTGGTCCGACGGCAGGGGAATTTCGGTCTTGGTTGTATAGATATTGGGGAGAAGCACCGAATGTGCGTGCGATGGATGTGCAGGGCAGCGGCATAATGAGCAAATGATGGAAAGGGTGGTGTGTATAGCAGATTTATTCGTGAAAACCATATTTAGTCTAGTGAGTTTGTTTAATTATTAGTAGCATTGTTGTTATTATCTCATTATTATCGTCTTGATTATTATCATTATTAATCAAATCCTCGTCCTCACAGCGGCGAGCTCAGTCAGGCCTGTACAAATTGAGTGTCGCGGCAGCTGATGCGGGATCAGGTCAGCAGCAATCGCTCGTCTCAACAGATGACTACTGGTTTGGCTACTATGGTTTGATTGCTGCAGCAACGGACGGCTAGAATCAGACAATTTCTATAACTAGTAAAGTAAAATTGGCAGTAAAGCGATATGAATTAAGAATATGCAATGTATTGGATGTCAGGGATTTGACATTAGCCCTCAATGATCCCACATGCCGCTCGAGATAGATGTTGGGGGAGGGAAGGGGTAAAGACATAAGAAAGGAACAAAAATAGAAGAAAGAAAGGGGGGGCGAGCCGCTGCACTCAAACGCCTGATAGATCCATGTCAATTGGGGATGTGGTAGCCGATTCTTCCTGTCAACGCTTGGCTGGGGGACCATCGCCAGCATCATCGAGGGCCCTCTTGTTCCCCGCCTTCTGCTTCGGTGCCCTCCTCCTTGCCGCCGTCGTGTTCGCCGTCATCGTGCTCGGCGCCATCATGTTCGACGTGGTGTTCGCCTCTAGCGTCCTGTTTGGCGCCATCAAGTTCCCCTCCGTCAGCCTTCTTTTCAAGATGACATCGATAGCAGCCTCAATGCGGCCCTGGCGTTCTTCAGCCCAGTTGTAGATCTTCTTGATACATGTCTTTAGGCCTTCACGCTGTTCTGGATCATATAAGAGGAAGCCGCGAACGAACTTCATGCATGTCTTTTTGTACTTCTCTTCTTCCAGGACCGCGTACGTGACGAAAAGCCTCACTTCTGTGCCGCTTGCAGCAAATCCAAAAACATGGTTATCGAGACCGTTGGCCACTTCGAGGTCCCCTCCTAGTCTTATTACCTCATCCCGTAACCCCATTATAATGTGAACGCAGGTGGCAGTTGCTACCAGGCACTGATTAGTTGCAACCCAAAGACTGCCGGTGGAAGCACTGTCCCCCTTATAGTCAACTGAGAGGAAAGCGAACTTGGCCGAGTTTTCGTCCCAATTATAGAGTCGCCCGTCTTGCTCGGCCGGGAAGCTTTCTTCCTTGTACCCCAGAAGCAGATCCGGGTTGGGAGTACTGATACTCGCCACCATGGAGGGGGTTTTATGAGCACCGGTTCTTTTCATCTGCCCCTCGTTGCGGCGTACATTCTTGGGAAGTTCTAAATCGGGGAAGATATGACCATCGAAGAATCGAGTGACCTCGGTCTCGCACGCGCCTTCTATGGCAATGTTCAAACAGCGATTGGTGACGGACTGACAATTTGACTTTTTTTCATCGCTCAGCTTTTGGCCACACTCAGAGGTGATAGATTTTATCACCGTCTCGATATCAAATGGCTCCTTCTGTTCTGCTTGAAGCAGAAACACCTCAGTTGCTCGAAGGGTGCTCCGGTAGCCTTGTTTCAGAACAGGCCTTTGGCTCGCCTTGGAGACCTGTTCCAAGCCAGAAACCCCTGGCGAATGAACAATGGTCCCCTGGTCATGTGGACCGATTGTGGAGTTTTCCAAGGCCGACATAGGCGGTATATTGGTATAAATCTCGGGTAAAGGTTGAACGTTCGTTTCGGACTGGCATCGACGAGTGCGGTATGGCTTTATCGATTGGAGCCAGTTCAGGAGACGCGCGCCTTGGGACGATTGTCGGAAGCCAGGAAGCGTCAAGTAGAAGTTTTCGTGGAGGGAATATAGCTTCAAAAAAGTCAGATTCAGGCATACTGCCTACGGGAGGTCAACGGCAACATACTCTTTGGGACCGTTTGTCTATGATCTGGATGTCTTCGCCAGATTCCTGCAGACTGAGATCCTGTTCTTCGTCGATTGCATCTGCTCGTTCCTGGACAGGTAGTTCTGCGTGTTCCTGGACAGGTGGCTCTGCTTGTACGGGTAGTTCTGCTTGTTGCTGGAAAGGTGGTTCTGCTTGTTCCTGGACAGGTGGTTCTGCTTGTTCCTGGGCAGGTGGCTCTGCTTGTATGGGCGGTTCTGCTTGTTCTTGTACGGGTAGTTCTGCTTGTTCCCGGACTGGTGGTTCTGCTTGGTCTTGGACAGGTAGCTCTGCTTGTTCCCGGACTGGTGGTTCTGCTTGTACGGGTAGTTCTGCTTGTTCCTGGACAGGTGGCTCTGCTTGTTCCCGGACTGGTGGTTCTGCTTGTTCCTGGACAGGTAGTTCTGCTTGTTCCCGGACTGGTGGTTCTGCTTGGTCTTCGACAGGTGGTTCTGCTTGTTCCCTATACTTAGCAAGGCCTTCCCGGCTCCGGAGAAGCCAATAACTTACTTTGAGCTTGCGCAGCTGCTTGATCAGCGAGTTTCTGTGCTCGCACTCTGGATCTCGTTCCGAACATGTTGGAGGAAGCTGTGAAAGAAAAAGGTACACCCAGATGATGTTTGATGTCACCGTGCAGCAACGCGTTTGGTAGCTAGTAGCCTAGCGGAATACAGCAGAGATTTGAATCGCTAAACCCAAGAGTAATTGACAGGGATAAGACCCGGCTTAGGTCGCTGGCCGAAGCAGCGTGCCGTTGCCTGCGTGTGTGCTATCTCGATATTGGTAAACAAAAATGGCGGGGGCACTGTGGCGCTGCTGGTTTGTCGAGCTTGTGTCACCAACGGCGTATTACGGATCTTCCCTTCCACTGTTCGATCTGTTTCTGCCTTCCTTCCTCGGTAGCTTAGACATCAACACAGCTTAGGGATAGATAAGGAGACAGATCATTGCTGCTCGATCAAAAGGACTTCAATAAGCTACAGCTTACTATCATTTATGGGTTTTTGTTGCTGGACGCGAGGGATGTGATATCCCACGATCAGGCTACGTCTACACACGTGACTATAGCACACAAAGCATTCAGCACAAATTGCAGCATGCACCCGGACCGACCATGCACAAAGGAAAATCAGGGAAAGTCAACGCTAATTGACTAGGCACAGCCATCAATGCCTCCAAAGCTCCAACAAGGGCTGGTCTGACATAGATCATCCCAGCTATGGCCCTCCAGAGGAGATACTCACAAGCACACCTCTTTCCAAGTTTCTACAACATTATTATACCTAATTATCACTATAGTTATACCGACCACCGTGGTTTGTTAGGGGGGCTTCAGGTGCCATTCAGGCTGCATTGTGGCTGAAACGTCCCTGTGGCATGGCAACCAGTAGCCGTCCTCCTATGATCTCTCAGAATTCTGATTGCGTCATCATGTCCAGCTCCATTTCAATAATAATTCGAGAGTACTTCCTCATGCTTGGGTGGGCACAATTACATCCACCCCTCCCAAAGCGTGGACACAGATGCACAGGATATGGTGAACACGGACCTGGTCACTAATGTCTCAACAATAGTTAAACTAAATAAGACCAAGCCATGACCATTTGATATCCAGCCTTTGTGCCAGGGGGTCCAGCCAATTAATTCAATCAGATTGAAAAACATATCAAATCAAACACAGTCAATCAATAGATCTATATATAGAATTCCCCAAAAATAAAAATAAGAGCTGAACGTTTGGTTAGGTCCAGTGCAATCGCGGGTTGGGCTACCTAAGAAAAGGAAAGGTTACGTCTGTACTTGACGGTCGCAGCAATTCACCATGAGACATGGAATGGATCATTCTTTGTAGAAGACAGAGCGACCAGGTTGGAAGCGATTATACATCGCAATAGTATGTAGCTACCTAGGTAGGCGTGATGATCGATTGGTTTAGGGTAGGAGAGCCGCGATAGCGAGGCTAATTAGAGACTTCCTTATTCTTCCCCCTCAGATCAAATCTTAACCACGATCCCTGCTGTGCGCTCATGGCCCAGAGACCAAACTCTATCAGGCGTGTGTACATATGAACTTGATTCGTGGTTTTTTGCTACACGATATACTATAATATTGTGGAGATCCCGAGAGGTGTATTTTCATCAGCGCATCGTTGCAGTCTACATTGACGCTAGCGTCTGAGAGGGAACCCGTTTCTCTTTAACCCTTCCGAAAAATCAAACAACTGATGGACTGTTGGATTTTACTGTTAAAGGGAATTTTACCTTTCACCTGGCAAAGGGGATCTTGATCTTGCATTTTGCGCTAATCATATCCGACCACCACATTTCACTATTTGGCTACCTACCTCCTCTAAACTGGAGAACCTAAAAAACGACGCCCGTCTTTGTGAATTGATGCCGCTAAGTCCGTTTTGGGCTCTAGTATCTGCAACTAAAATCTACCCCTTGCTCAGCGATAAAAAAAAAGCTGGCTCGAACAGATGTTACGCCGGAATTCAGGGCCACAGCAATTAGCAGACAGGAAGGTCGGGCTTGTAAATCGCTCGTCTTGACGGAAGACGCAATCGCTCGTCGCCAGAAAAGATATGATCAGGGCTAGTTAGTACCCCAGCAGCCGCTCGTAGCGCCGGAAATAGGTTTTTCCGGGACATCAGCGGTCACCCCACCTTTTGCGACCAGCGATTGCTTCTACCCTCAACAACCAGTCCGCTGCAGCGATAAGTGATTACCGTCTGCTACTGCTACGAACGATTATTGCAGACCTGATCCAGCTGTCTCTCATCACGACGAGCGATTGCTGTAGCCTTGAACAACCTTTCCATAGCTGCGACGAGTGATTCCTACGAGCCCGACCTCTCTGTCTTCCGCTGTGACGAGCGGTTGCTCCAGCCAACTTGTATTCATGTTTTTCTCATGGTCTACCGTATGTACCTGGCCTCACGTGCTAGGTAAAGTAGTAAGTTCGTAGTTATCCGTAGCGACAGCAAAATCGCGGAGGTTTGACTTCCGCGCCTGCTGCTGAGATGGGGGATCGCTATGAACCTGACATGCGTCTTCCGTGAGGACCAGCGATAGCTATAGACCCGACCTAGCCATCATTTCTAACTGGTTCATTCGGGTCTGGCCTCGCATTCCCCGTCAAGAGCAGAGATTGCTATGGCCTTACCTCATCGTCATCCTTTTCGCCAGTTAACTCAATCGCTTCTAAAATATCAAGTCAAACACACATTAATATTCAATTGAGTGCTTCCAAAATTGATTTATGGAGCTTGATTTGATAAATCTAGATATGTATGTATTTATTTGGAATACCTAGACATAGGAGATTGATGCTATCACGAAGATGAAGGTGGGTTAAAAAGGAACTGTAGCCTTATTGCCATTCATCAACCCTTCCATGCGACAGGCAATCGCTGCAAGCTGGGCCTTGCACTCACCGACTGCGGCAGCCAGATCGCGAGAAGCTGGTCTGGTAGTCTTCCGTGAAGAAGAGCGATCGCCACGGGCGCGACACAGTTGTCATGCCTTGCGATTGATGATTCCTGGTTGTCATCCCCGACGATAGCCAATAACTCTACCAAATAAATATTAATAAATTGAGACGTTGGATAGATAGACAATAAAGTGTATTTCAATTAAGACCACGTTGTTAAAAATGGAAAACACATTCTATAGCGAAAGACAGAAAGAAAGAAAAAATCAAGAGAGAGTGGGGGAGTGGAGGGAACAGCCACGCTCATACGCCTGACAACGAAGCTGCAATTGCATGCCTGGGCCGCCAACGTACTATTCTCCCCGCCGACGCTTCCTTTTCTTCCTTGGGGCTAGAATTCTAGATAGGATGACATCGATAGCAACCATAATGTGACCCCGACGTTCTTCAGCCCACTCGAAGATCTTCTCGACACACCTCTTTAGGTCTGCACGGTGTTGTATATCGTATAGTAGAAAACCACGGATAAGCTTGACATGAAACTTGATATGTGAATCCTCGGATTCGTCCGGATATGTTACAAAAAGCCTCGCTTCTGTGCCATTTGTAACGAGCCCGAAGACATGCAGATCGAGACTGCTAGCCACTTCGACATCTTCGGCATTCCCTCGTTCCAGTACCGCAGCCCGCAGTTTTTTCATAATTTGAACGCAAGTAGCAGTTGCTACCATGCAGTGATTTGTAGCGACCCAGAGCCTGCTGGTGTTGCAGGTATGGTCTCCCTGATAGTCGACAGAAAGAAAAGAGAACTTTGTATTGTTTATATCCCAGCGATAGAGATGACCTATTTGCGTGATTGGGAAGCTCCATGTATCATATCCTAGGAGCAAATCTGGATCGGGAGTGCTGATCGCCGACCCTGCCCCCCAAGAGGGGGCGATTGGGACATCATCTCTTTTCATCGTCGTCTCGTTTCCGCGTATATTGTCGGGAAGGCTCTGACTGGAGAAAAGATAGCGATAAAAGAAGTCTTTGACTTCATACGAGTAAGCCCCTTTGATGGCCATATTCTCACACTTCTTTGAGTCTTGCTCTAATGCTGACTTTCCCACGTTTAGCGGTTGGCCACATTCAGAGGTGATGAAATCTACTACCGACTGAATGTTACTTGGCACCATTTCCCCGGATTCAACCATATCTATACCATTTGAGAAAAGCATGGGCCGGAAATTGCTGTGAGCAGCCTTTTGTTGCACCTCGGAGGAAGAGTCCGATCCATCTGAACGAGAAACCCCTGCCACGTGATAATCTGTATAACATGTACCCTGGTCCAGAGATGGAGTAATGTCGGTGTCTGGAAACGCCCTATTTGCGCAGAAATCGGGCAAGAGTTGGATGTTCGTTTCGGACCTACATCGACGAAGGCCGTATGGTTTGACCGATTCTAACCAGTTCAGAAGAGACTCGCCATGTGATGATTGTTCGAAGGTAAGGGGATTTTCGTAGAGGGAATATGTCTCTCTGGATCTCGTTCCGTCCATATTGGAGTAGGTCTCGTACGGACTTTCCTTTCCAATACTCGATCTGTTTTCCCCCTTCTTTAAATATCAAGCAGCTTCGGTGTAAATAATGGGATAGCTCAGTGATGCTAGATCAAAAGGCCAGAGATAGGTTACAACTTACTATCATTTACTTTTTTTTTGCTGGAAGCAAGGGAATTTATATCCCAAGTTCAAGCTATACATAGGACTATAGCACACAAAGCTTGCAAAAAACAAAGAATAATCATACATTCACACTAGTTGACTGGGAACAGGTTTCAATTTCTCTAAAGCTCGAACAAAGCTAGGCCGACATAGACCGTACCCCCAAAAGGAATACTCACAACCAAACCCTTGTGTTCACTAGAACCGTGCTTTGCGTAAATCCAAAAATACATCGTTATGAACCGTCCTCCTAGACAGAGCTCAGAGTATTCTGCGACGTCGGGCCTTAGCCCCCTTGAAATTGAAACCTAGAAGACTTGCCCGCAAACCGTCTACCCGGATTTATCTAACTGCAGGATGCAGAAATTGTAACTGAAACGGGGAACTGTTTCTGAGGATTGAATCTTATATATCATAGAAAATGATGATTAGTAGAATCAAATCGCCGAAGCGCTTTCTCGGGACAAGAGGCGGGCGTGCGTCACTTGTTTCTTTTCATACCAGACTTATGGTTATATGAATTATTTACTAGATTATGATAGGTTTATTGAGAGGCTATTGTCAACACTATCGTGTCCCAGAAATATGACGGCGAAACTCACAAAGAATTTATTCGAGAAGAGCAGTCTGAATTCCAACGCCTCTCACCCAATGGGGGAACTTCCGCGTGGGATCTAAATTCAGAAAGTTTGACCAGAGTTCGTCTATTATGAGGAGAACTACGAGCAATGAGAGGAGACGCAGGGTGTGGTGCAGGGAGCAGCATCTGGATATGATCCCGATCAGTTCAGATATATTCTCATGTGTGTTGGTTCGAAAAAAACGATTAAGTAAGAAGATTTACGGGACAAGGAAAAGTTTGGAACACGGACTTATACGCTGAAAAAGTTGCGGCTATAAGAGGATCCTTGATATCCTTCATTCGGAGCAATAACCCGTAGAAGGATTGCAGTTGATCTGCCAGGGACTAATAATTATCTTGTTTTGAAAGTCATGCAAGTAAGAAGCATATGTAATGGAGACTCATTGCTTAGACTGCCTATAGAACCTCATGAGAATAAGCTGGGTTGTCCTCTGAGCGCAGCGCCCGATTTCTCGAATTTTGAGGGCCAGCCGCAGGGCGATCGATGATAATGTTCCCCTTCCCTGACCAGGCTTCAAGAGCTTCCTTGACTTCATCGTCCGGCCTCCATGTAGCGTTTTCGGAGTCAACCGTGATCCGCCACTGCCGGGACTGCCAATTACCAATGTACTCCGGGTCATTATTGAGATCCGTCAAACTTTCAAATGGACTTCCTTCAGATACCCACTGAAAAGTCAGATTTCTTGACAAACAACTCTGTGAACGGATCTTGAAGAAGCCCAGCTCTAATTTCGGCATACGCATACTCATATTGGCTAGACCACATATCAAAGGGTTAAAGGTGGTCGGGTCAGGACGGAAGCGCCAAGGGTGTAGAGGCGATTCGTAACGGCCTTGCCTGCCGAAAGGAGGCGGTAATTCATTTGTAGCAACCCAAGTGTCATCTTCGCCAAAGTCTGAATTGTCCGAAATTTCTTCTGGAGTGCCAGTGAAGCACCAGCGGCCATCGGTAGCGACGCACTCGGTGCTGATCTCCAGGCATTTAAGAGCGGGCCAAGGTTTTTCCACCAAGCCGTCAGTAGCTTCCTCTGTAGACTGGTCTTCGAACAGATCTGGAGAGAGTAAAATGTCGATCAACTTTAGCTCTTCTAGGCGAGGCAGCGACGACAGAGATCGAATAGCTTGACAGAGCGTATCCACGCCATTCTCGAGCAGACACTCGGGCATGAAATAATGATTCTCAGGGTCCTGCCAGCCATAGCGGTCCACGCAAAGACTTTTCAAACCCGGATGGGAGTCTTTAATCATCAGGATACAGTCCGCCATAGCCCGGCGAATCGCGCGGCGCTTCGCCGCTCGACGTGTCGTTGGAATCTGGGGGTCCCAAAAATATACAGTAGCCCTCTCTACACGCGGCATGAGACGCAGCAGCCTCCCCGATGTGTGCGGATGAACAGTATAACACCTGGAGTGATGTACATCAACAGAGGTAATGCGGCGGATACATGGGAGCTTGTCCAAGTCCTCCGGCCGAATAGAAGGGGGGAAATGCTCCGAATGAACGCGCCTGTTCTGAGCGGGATCTATACAGCATCTTACACGAAGATGGAGAGGCCTAAGAGCGGTATCCGGCTCATTCTGTTCCCAGTCTCTGAGGGTAGCAAACAAAGCAGAGACATCCGAGAAGAACTTGTCTTGATTTTCTTGGTGCTCCTCTTCTGTATTGCCGTTTCGGGGAATATTGCTGGTGAATCTAAGCTCCCGCAGCGCTTCTCGACGGTGAGGATACATCGAGTACATCTCAGTGAATCTCTCGAGTTCACCTGGGTAAGTTCGCAGTGTGCAGCGTCTGAAGATGCGCTTCTCAAGAGCATATTGCCATTGTCGGGAAACGGCGGCATATGGCGCCAGCTCTTTGCTGTTTCCATCGTGAACGTTGACTAATTCATCCACGATGGACTGAAATATGTCGTTTCCAATCGCCTCCATCTCGAGATGATGTTGAAGCAAACGCGATGTGAAGGAAAGCGGCAATGAGGGTTCGGAAATAAGGCAGCGGTGTCCTTTTTGAGAGATACAGACCCAGTGAAGAGTCAGCACCTCGCAGCAGGTTTACCGTCTTGGCAGGATTAGATAAAAAGTACTTTATTCACCGCCGGAATAATATATGAGGTTGAGGTATTCCCGATCTGTGCTTGTTCCCGGGAATTCGGAAAAACTCCACTAAAAGTTCACAGTTGAGGGCCTTGGTCAAATCATCTGGCCTAAAATGTTGGTTCAGTTGCTTTTTTCAACGACTCTGGCCATCGTAGGTAGTGGAAGTACTAAAAATTCATGACTCCCACCTTCTTAACTCTTCCATTACAAAAAAAAAAAAGAACACTAATCTTTAAATTATATCTTTAATGAGTTCTCTATCAATAATGCGCAAACGAATCAAGTTTGGAAATTGCGCATTGTTGTTTGGAGAGTGTAGGCTTAAGTCGCTATGACCGGATCAGTGTATGTATGTAGGGTATGTTGGTGATAATACCAGTGTGTGTAGGCATTCTTACAACCACTTGCTCCCAATGATGCATTGAAGAATATTATGTTAAGAAGCTCGGTAGCTTTGGTTGTCTGTCAAAATATTTTTTTTAGTCATTTATTATCATTTATTATAATTGCCTTCGTCATTCCGAGCCTATTTTGCGTGTGAGGGAACCCATGTGCCAGCCGGCTTCGGCTTCGGGTTTGGATCTGTTGTCTACTCCGCTGGGATTGAAGCTATGCAGGCTTCAACGGCTCTCGGGACCGGCTTCGGAGTTTCAACTACTGGGTCGATGTTGACGATACATTCGAGTTGAAAAAGAAAGAGTCGGAACCTTTTTCAATCAATTGGGGGTGTTTTTCTTCCATCACGCCTCGCTGTATCAATTTCAATAAAAAAAATGACCGGGCGAATGCAGAACCAGGCTGAAGGGTCAGCGCCTGCGGCAATCACCACAACAGACATCTCCATATTGGAGAAGAGGCATGGTGTTTCTGTTGAAGAAAAAGCCGGGCCCGAGTCTGACACGGACACCAAGCGAAGCGCGACCGATGACGAAGTTGCCAACCTGGCTCAAACAGCCGACAGTCTCCCTCTAGCCGTCATTATTGTTATCATCATTGGTGGCACTGAGAGGTTCGCATATTATGCATTGTCAGGACCTTGGCGTAAGCTCCTCTCCATCGAGTTTTCACGTGAAGCTTTTGTTAAGAAATCCTCCAGAGAACTACATCCAGAACCCCCCTGGTGACTACGCGCTCCCGGGTGCTCTTGGCCTTGGTCAGGCAACAGCAACAGCAATCAACAATGCATACCGCTTCCTCAGCTTCCTCACGCCTCTGATAGTCGGTGTTCTGTCAGACACCTGGCTAGGGCGCTACAAGGCACTCCTTTGGAGCATGATGTAAGAATTCTCAAGTTAAGCTTGGTGATGGTCTTGCTAACTGACAGAAAAACGCTAGAGTCTACGCATGCGGTGGTTTGATCCTGCTCCTAACTTCCTTACCCATCGCTCTTGACCACGGTGCTGGTCCGGCAGGGCTCGGTGTGTCAATGATTCTAATAGCCTGCGGTGTTGGAGGAGTAAAGGCTACTTTTCCCATATTTTTAGGTAATTAAGATACAATTGCTTCGTACTCACTTGGGCATTTGAAACTAGATTTAAAACTAATACCGTGTTCTAGGAGATCAGTACACGAAAACTCAGCCGCAGTTGATACATAAAAGAGGTGGTCGAAAGATGGTGACAAACAGAAATCTGACCATTCAGTCCATCTACACTCTGTCTTTCTGGTACCCTCCCCTCTCAATTCCGAACAGGTTTATACACAGTATCTCACTTTCGGATAATTAGGGTTACCAATCTTTCTTCGCTCTCAATAATCCCAGCTACATTCCTTGAAAGCAAATTTGGGTTCTGGCCGGCGTATCTCCTTGGCTTCGGTGCCTTGCTGATTTCGATTGCAATATTATGTGGTCTCTCACCTAAGCTTGGTTCGCATATACAGACCATTAATAGCATGCATGATCAATAAGCTGACTGATGCCGTGGGAAACAGTCAAGGTCCCAAAGGGAACCAATATCATTCTCTCCGCTGGAAAAGTTTTAGGATGTGCAATCAAGAGCGGCTTCCGCTTGGACAACACGAAGGCCGATTATCAGGCTTCCCACTACAACAGGAGCGTATCTTGGACGGATGAGTTTGTGGACGAGATCAAAGTCACACTCCGGACTTGCAGAGTTCTGTATGTGTCCTAGATATCGCGCTCTTGTTAAATAAATACTAACTGGAGGCTCAAATAAAGCCTTTCCATGGCAGTTTTCACGCTCTGTATGGGCCAGATGTTGAATAATCTGGTTTCCCAGGCCGGTCAAATGGAGCTTCATGGCGTACCGAATGACATGATTCAAGCTCTGAGCGGCATCGCCGTTGTGTTGCTTGGTCCCGTCATCCAAGGCATAATGTCGCTTCTAGCAACACGACGGATTCTTCTGGGTCCCATTGTACGAATGGCCATCTCCTTTATTTTCACCGCCGCGGGAATGGCTTTTGCCGGAGGCGTCCAGCAACTCATTTATTCCGCTCCTCCATGTTACAACGCGCCTCTTGCCTGTGCCGAATCCATGGGTGGTACGATTCCGAACAAGATTAATGTCTGGGTGCAAACTCCGATACATTTCATACTGGCAAGTGGAGAGATACTTGGCTATGTTGCAATGGACGAGGTTTCGTATACCAATTCCCCGCAAGGCCTCAAATCAGTGGTACAGGCGTTCAAGCAGTTGTCCAACTGCCTAGGGAGTATTCTTGGATTGGCCCTAAGCCCGGTATCCCGAGACCCGTACCTTGTGGTGCTGTACTCCTCGCTGGCTGGCGCAATGGTATTGATAACGGGCATTTTTGTATGTGAAAGACTCCGACTGCTCGAGATAGCAAGCTCTAACCTAATCCTACACAGTGGTATTACTTTGGAAAGTATGATCGTCCTAAGAGAGTGGAAGAGTCACCATTGGATACGACGGAGGAGAACGAGGCGAAAGAATGAGAGAGCATTATCTCTCTTATATGAATTGGTTGACGAGAGAGACGCTGATCAATCCATGTACCGACGTCTACTTGCGAACAACGCCTTAGCGAATCACAGATGCAAAATCATAGCAAAAAGCTAGATTGAACGACGGACATGACATGAACTACTTTTATTCCCTTTTTATAGGGCACATCATGCACCTGAGGGAACCGCGCTACGGTCTGACGACACTTGATCGATTATGTGGTGTGCTGAGGATCTCTTGCATATTTTATTTTTTCTCACAGCAGTAGTGGTAGAAAGATAAAATGCGTGGCGACGATGCCCGCGGGCATCCCTCTAGCGAGGTGTCATCGGAGAAAGCTGAATAAATTTGCGAACTTATATATGAGCAATGAATTCTTATTAGTAATTATCCGGAGAACCTTGCTAACCACAATAGTTACAGTTAATAATAGGGGTATATCGTAAGATACCTAGTATCGAACTATCCTATCTCTGCTTCGTCTCGGCCACCTGGGAGTAAATGAAGACAAGAAAAGAAGTATTAGTGTTCCAGAAGACAATACGGGAATGTCACCATCTGAGAAAGTCCCTCCCCAAATATCATTGGGTGTCCAATCATTTCATGGGCGTCGAACGGACCGATTGCAAAGCTCCAAAAGTACCGCTCCAAGACCGTGGCGATGGCAAAAAGCGACACGAGCATCACACCCCCCCCTTTGCTGCATCTACTTTACGGTGGAGTATCGGATGTAAGCTTAATTTGAATTTAATTCTGAGCACCCCTTCACGGGAGGCAGCTTCCGTGACTTCTTTCCAGTCAAGAAAGCCTGGGTGCCCTGGCGAGGACGCTTAAGATCGGCATTAGGAGTGAAAACTCTTTCCTATCATTATAATCTTGACTGGCATGAATGGCACGCAAGGGTGAAACGCAAGACGGAGGCGTCCCGCTGTCTAGCACAACGTATCCTTGAGAGCGGGGCTATCTTGAGTCGAGACCTAAAGGCTTGTTGATAGAGCTCTCTTTGAAGGCCATTTCTCACCTCATTCGCAATGGCCTGGGCAAACATGTTCCCTGGACCCCTTGATAGGCAGCTCAATCTTGTTTTGCGTGATGATTCTTGGCTGCCCAGAAAATTGATCAGGCTTTCTCACGATTTAAGCATGTATATTCTACAGGGAGCGGTATCCCTCCTAGACAACCCGTCGGATGCCTCTTGGCTACAGCCAATGAGCGAGGGGTGATATGACGCATCAGCACTCGGGATTGCGTGCTTCGAATGGTCGACCACGAATACTACTGTTCTAGGAAGGTGAACAACGCAATCCGTGTAAGGGAACATTTTATTATCTGTAGTCAGTACGAGGGATGCTGCCAAGTGTATCTCGACATTCATTGAAATAATGGCGTTTAGTTTCACTGGCATGGGGCCCCCAGCTTTAAACACGAACCCATTATTTAGGCTCAGTCCCACCCTCCAAATGAGCTGTCTCTGATCTGGGGATTCCTGTGAGCCTCTTCAGTATCACCGGATTGTGTTCCCATTATCGTTCTATTCTCTGAACCGGGACACCGCCTGCTCAATGGCTTCAGTGTTAGGCAAGCTTTGGCCAAGGCCAGCCGCTGAATCAACGCCCAATAACCAAACGGAGCAATACACCTCGGACTCTGAACCATCTGTGATCCATGATGGCGACCTTGCATTCGTCCGTGTCAAGGGAGGCAATGGGTCTGGCGCAACTTACCAAGAAGCTGTCGGTGCGCCGGTTGAGTCGCGATCTCCTCTAGGATACCATGTTGGCTGGGCCACTATTCTCTTCCTCAACGTGAACCAAATGATTGGAACGGGTATCTTCTCTACGCGTAAGTCTAATAACCTTCATCTGTCGATCTTGAGCAGTTGGTGACCCCCAAAACAGCCGGAAACATCCTCAAAGCGTGTGGCTCCATCGGACTGGCACTTATGTACTGGTTCATCGGGTTCCTGATGGCCGCCGCCGGTTTTACAACATATCTCGAGCTTGCTAGCTACTTTCCGAACCGCAGCGGCTCTGAGGTCGTGTATCTGGAGCAAGCGTACCCGCGCCCCAAGCATTTCTTCCCGATTGCATTCGCCGTTCAGTCCGTCATCCTGTCATTCAGCAGCAGTAACGCCATAGTTCTTTCACGCTACCTCTACCGTATTGCAGGAGTCACGCCCTCGGACATGCAAATGAAAGGCGTGGCGGTGGCGGCCTACTCGCTGGCCGTGATCTGTAAGTTCACCCACCCCCCGTCCAAATGTTCGAGAATGTCCAGCTCATCGCGGTGATGGTACTTAGTTGTCATTGCCCACAACAAATACTCTCTCTGGCTTACCAACCTTCTCGGTGCCCTCAAGATCATCACCCTCATCTTCATCAGCATCACTGGGCTCGTGGTGCTCGGTGGCCACGTGTCCAGCATTGAGAACCCGGGCCATAATTTCAACGATGCGTTCGCAGGGACGACGAACAACGGCAACAGACTAGCAAATGCCCTCGTGAGCATCATCTTCAGTTACTCTGGCTACGCCAATGCCTTCAATGTCGTCAACGAGATCAAGAACCCGATCCCGTCGCTCAAGAAACACGGCGTCATTTCCGTCTTAGTCGTCACTATCCTGTACATGCTCTGCAACATCGCCTACTTCGCCGCCGTCGACAAGACAGAGTTCTCCCAATCCTCGGAGATCGCCGCGGCAGTCTTCTTCCGAACCGTGTTTGGAAAGGGCCGCGCCGAGACCGCCCTCAACGTGCTCGTGCTCCTGAGCGCCTTTGGCAATCTGCTGGCCGTGCTCATCGGACAGTCACGCCTCATTCGAGAAATCGGCAGGCAGGGGGTTCTCCCGTTCCCTAAATTCTTCACCTCGACGCGCCCGTTCGGCACGCCTCTGGGACCCTATGCCCTGAAGTGGGCCTTCACGGTCATCATGTGTCTCGCCCCGCCCGCCGGCGATGCCTTCCAGTTCGTCATCAGTCTGAAGACTTACCCAGAGGCCATCTTCCAACTCTTCATGGCTGCGGGTGTCTACATTATCCGTCGCCGCCGGGCCCGTAACAATATTCCTCGCTCCGAGTTCCGAAGTTGGGATGTGGCGTTGATCTTCTTCATCTTGATCCAGATCTATACTCTGGTCATGCCGTGGATCCCTCCCGAGAAGGGTATCTACGGTGGAGACGTGTCGTTCTTCTACGCCACGTACATGTTGACGGGAATTGCAATGTAAGTTGACGGTTGTTTTGAATTCTATGGAAAGTTCTCTGCTAACAGCCCGATGACACAGTTTGATCGTATGTGTTGTCTACTACTATGCCTGGATGAACTGGATCCCGAATTGGCGCGGGTACCGTATCAGGACTGAGATTCTGGACGTTGACGACAATGGTGCCAATACTCACAAGCTTGTTCAAGTTCCCATTGAAGAGTTGGCCGAGTGGGATGCAACTCATGATGAAGCTGGCAATCTACGACAGAGAAACGGAGCAAGGGAGTCTCAGAGCGAAAAGTCTTCTACTCCGGGTGTGACGACTTCAGTGGAGGCAAAGGTTTGAAAGACGGCTCGTGGCAAGAGGTAATTCACAAGAATAGAGCGCACTATAGTATCAAAAGTGGCTCTCTTAGCTCGTAAATATTAGGTGTCTTTAGTTCATCGTTCATGAATTCGCTCCTTTCCGTTAAACCCTTCTCCGAGTGATCTCAGCCAGATGTCATTCTCAAGTCGCTCCCGTGGTTGACATCGGAACCTACTTCTGTTCTCTACAGGTTTCCAAACAGTTTCTCTATGAAATTGGCAAGCGCCGCTTTGATCTCTACCGCCTCGGGTTCGTAATCATCAGCTAGCTCCTCCACGTAGCCTGGATCGATGTTGTGAAGGGTAGCATGCTCCATCAGCAAGTTCAGCAACAGCCAATTGTCCGCAAGATGAGCAGCGTCGGAAGCGTTTTCAAGGGCTGTGGTCCCATTCCCAAATTGGCCAATGGCGCAGCCTCGCCTGAGAAGGAGGACAACCCCCTCCTTTATGTTCTCAACATCCTCTTCTGTGGTGGTATAATCACGGAGAGTCTGGAATAGGGCAGCAATTATAGATTGTCTTGCGCCTTCGGCGGAGGAACCCGCCAGGGCTCTGGCATTCGCTCCGGCACGAAGGAGAAGCTTCATGCATTCGACGTCGTTGGCACCAAAAAGAGCAAAGGCGAGCGGCGTCCCGCCAAAGTCGAAGTCAATTTTCTCCTGACCGATGTTCCTATAGTCCTGAGTCCGTCTGTCCACCTCTACTCCCTTCGCGATGAGCTCCCTAAGGAGCTCCCTGACCAGCTCGGTCTTACCAGGATGCGTTTGCGAGAGGAGGTGGTGTAGGGGGCCCCAAGGATCATAGGCGTCAAACTTTGAATTCGGGTCGGCACCTCGGGATAGAAGCATCAATGCTGTTCGATAGTTTCCTTTTCGAATCGCGCAATAAAGAGGGGTTCCCCAGGGTCCGAGTCCATCATTGATGGGAACACCGCGATCGATGAGATCTTCGGCCAAGCGTTTGGAGTCCTCAGTCTCTTCGGACATACAAACTATATGGAGCACGTTTCGGCCATTGGGAAAAAGTGGTGAAATGTCAACTTCAGGTCGGTTTGCAATGAGGTCAAACATGGCGATAGATCCAGACTCGACCGCGTATGCGAGCGGGGACATGCCGTGTCTATCCTCCCCAGTTGTTTGAATATCAGGGTGAGCAAGGAGTAATTTGGTGGCCTCGAGCAACTTCGGGTTAGCTGCACAGACGTGAAGGGGGGTTTGTCCGTCCCTATTAGCCTCCGAAACGTTGATGCCGGGTTGGGCGAGGAGCAACTTAACCATAGGAAGGTACCCAGATTTCGCAGCATACAACAACGGGGTCGAACCGGACGCATTACCTCGAGAAGGCTTGATACTTGGATGGGCCAGGATTTCCTGAGCGACTTCAAACAATGCTGGCTTAGATGCGCAGGCGTGTAGGGGGGTGTTTCCCGTGTTAGTGGCAGCTGAGACATCAATATCAGGCTGACTGAGGATCAATCTCATCATGGGAATAGATCCAGACCACACAGCATAGAGCAGAGGTGTCTTATTATAACTGTCCATGTCATTTTGAGGACACTCAAAGCTACATGTGGGATGTGCTAGGAGTAGCTTCGCAATTTCGAATAATTCTGCATTGACCGCGCAGATATGGAGGGGAGTCTTCATGTCGATTCCTCGTACAGAAACATGGGCTTCAGGCTGCGCTAGAAGGAATTTGATAATGTCCAGACAGTCACTAATACAATCCAGAGCAAGATGAAGTGGCTTATCATCAGGCCATTGTTCCTCGTCGTATGGCTTCACCGCTGGGTGTCTCACAAGGAGACTAAACATGGGAGCAGAGTAGTTTGCTGCGAGATCAAGGGCGGTAGCTCCTCCTATATTGGAGGCCAAAGGGTCGATTTTGGGATGAGCGAGTAGAAGCTTCATGGCCTCCACAAGCGCTGGCTTAGCGGCACAGGAGTGAATCGGAAACTCGCCCGAGTCATCCGCGATAGCCAGAGGGGCTTCAGGATGAGCTACAAGCAACTTGAGGATTTCCAAATCCTCATTCTGGTCATCCAATGCAACATGAAGAGCTGTTGCGCCTGAACCAGGATTTCTGTACGTAATATCTGCTCCCTTGTCCAGAAGCTCGCGGACAAGATCAGATCTCCTGTTCCTTACTGCAAATTGCAGAGACGCGCCCATAGCGAGAGGCTCAGACCGCTGGAGAAGACGTTCAATAACTTCGCTATGCTCCTCCATGATTTCCATGTACGCAATGGCTGGTACCTGCTCGGCCACGCGATATGCCCCTTTTGCAATCAGCTCTTGCGCAAACCAAGGGTTCGTGCTGTGGCTGAGAGCCATATGGAGAGGATATGGCTTTGGGTCGCCTCCAACCATGCATGTACAAAGACCCCTCGAAGGAACATCCATATCAACATTCTCATCTAGGAGGTAGTTGAATATGTCCATATTGTCATAGCGAATAGATAAGTGCAGAGCAGTCGCAATATATCTGCAGCGGAGAGAGCGCAGAGGGATGGTAAAATCCGACTCATCTATGGACCCATCAATATTGAGATCAGCCCCGTAGGAGTGTGCTCTTTTCAACGCGTCGATGTTGCCGTGCTCCGCGGCCCAAAGAACACACGAACGATGTGGCATATCATGTTTGAAATTGTGTTGGTACAGAAGAGGGTTCAGAATGCTGTGGAAATGGCCACTTGTCCGGGCAAATGCAGAAAAGTCCTTCAGGCTCAGGCTCAACGTGTATTTCTGTCTCCAGACTGACGAGATCGCAATATGAGCGACGAGCTCCGATGGGAGCCTCTCAATCGGCGACGTGGTGATGGTGCTTGGTTCAGCCATGGGATGGACTTTGGTGGGCGATACAGATAACGGAGAGCATTAGCATTGGGTTGGAAGAATGAAGATTCACCTGGATTTTGGGCTGCAACGAAGTTTTTATCTCATGCATCTGCCCGCTGTGGCTGAGTGGCTGATGCGATCCGATGCTACATAACATGTGCTCAAATAGGAATATAGAGCGAGAAGCCGAACGCCTGACATATGCTCAAGAAACTTACTTGTGAAACATTTCCAAATGAGCATCACGATGAAAATGACTGAGTACGGATGATATGTATTTAGAACAGGCGATATTGTCATTTGTCGCGGGAATGAATAAGCGAACGAGGACCTCAAGGGCCACGCCAAAAGTTGACTTGTGGCCATTGTATACTGGCACAGTCTTACCATGAAAGCGCTATGGGGGAGTTTTACTAAACTGTTTGTTTTCTATAGTTATGTACACTATTGATTAACCTTTCCAACGCTTCTAGCTGGACTATTTTCGTATTAGCGAGCTATAGATGGTTGGATAGCCTCTGGGGAGGATGAGTCAAGCAATGCAAATTATGTTCTTGGTGGGAAATTGCTTCAATACGGATTTGATGTTCCTTCTTATTCTGAAGTTCTCATCTGATGTCGAACATGCGCTGTATTGCTTTAATCCTCCAAGGATTAAGATGAGAAAAGGCGAGTATAGGCACAAGCTATTGATCGCAAATAAGGAAAAGCAATGTCATGACCCGAACGATCGCTTTCACTAGAACAAGTCCCATGGGCCGAGACTTCAGACCAGGTACAAATAATTAGTCTGCAGTGCCGTCAGGGATAAGGTATGAAGATGTGTAAATTGGCTCCCCAGTAAAATTACCGATAGTCTCTCGGTAGCGCAGATAGACTGCATCATGTTATTACCCTGCATGAAGATCTAGAACCCGCGTTCCTAGATCGAGGTGGGTCGGTTTTGTTATTTTTATACTTCTGTGACCCAATTCCTGAAGTCTGCCGTCTTCCTGTTTTGTCAGTCATTCATTTCCATCTCCAAAGTCACTCCTTTGCAGCCAGCAACCGCAGTTCATTATGCATTCACGCGCGTTTCTCCAGTTGCTAGGTGTATTGAGCATCCTCACACCAGGGGAGGCGAAAAAAAGATGCAAACCCAGACCTCCATCCTCGCTTGTCACGCCCACGCCAGAATCCTCCGCAACACCCAGCTCCTCGCTAGATCTTGAGACACCAACAACACCAAGCTCCTCTGTGTATACCGACTCGTTCACAACCCCCGGTTTCTCGACAACGCCAGCATTCTCTACTCCATCGGAATCATCGATTATAGTTGAGTCTTCCACGACTCCAAGCTCCTCGCAAACTCCCAGCTCCTCTGTGGCACCGGACTCGTCCACAACACCAGAGTCTTCGGAGTCACCGAGCTCCTCTGCGACCCAACAACCTTCTACAACACCGAGCTCGGAGACTCCTATCTCCTCTACCGCACAAGAGTCATCGACCATACCAGTCTTCTCGGAGACTCCTATCTCGTCTGCAGCTCAAGAGTCATCGACAACACCAGTCTTCTTAGAGACACCAAGCTCCTCGGCAACACCAGAGCCCTCTACAACGTCAAGCTCAGAAACCCCCATCATCTCGACCACTGCTAGTACTACCCAGGCTCCCGATATCTCCACGACATCCAGTTCCACTGTAGCAGCCAGCTCTTCAGCAGCCCCTGATCCCGCAACAATTAACTGGGGCTTTGATGAGAATCCGAGCGGCATCAGCCCCTGGGTTATGTATTCGAATTCCGACACAGTATCACTCGACGGAAGCGTGAAGCAGGATGGTCCTTATTCAGTTAAGCTGGTCTTCTCCTCAAGTCACGCCAACTATGTCAAGCGCCCTCTCGACTCAACCAAGGTCTCCGCAGGGGTCCCTATCGAGGTCTCGGCGTGGTACAGGACATCTTCGCTATCCGTAACAAATGGTTGCACGAGTGCCCTGATCGCGTGCACGGCTGGCGGAACATCAAGTGTCATTAGCTTGCAGCAATTCCCGGCAGCGACCGCGCTCAACACATGGACCCAGAACAAAGCCACTTGCACGTACACTGCGGCCCAGTTGGCTCAGAGCGGTGGTGCGCAGGTTCTCATCGGCTGGAATTGCAGAACCGGTGGCACTGGATGGATTGACACGGTCAATGTTGGGGCAGTACCTGTTTAAAGCTTCCATCTGTTACGTCGCAGCTTCAATCACTGGCAATCTGTGGGCTTTCATCGCAAGATTCGCGGAAGCTGAATTGGTTTGGTCGCTTTGAATCTCACTCTATTATCTCATCAGTATCCTCTTCAAATATTGTATATATTACTGGTAAATAGCTTAAGTATTTTTAGACTGGCTACCTTAGATTACTTAAATCATCTAGAGGTGCAACACTTTGCAGTCAAGTTACAGGTTCAGTGATGCATCGCCTAGAGAAGGATATTCAGTGTATTCAACACCTTGCAGCTACACAAGTTCAAAGGGTCTACGTAGAGAAGTCCTGGAGGTCGACAGACCAGTCGGAAGTTCCTCCAAAGTTCAGACCCTGGTAGTACTCAATCCGGCGTGCCTTGGTCTCCTTGCTCATATGGGACACCCACTCCCCGCCATCGAAAGCTACAAGATCAGAGTCGCTGTCGGCGTCATACCACGCCTTGACACCAAGCGGGTTCTTGGTGACCTGAGCAATCTCGTAGTCGGACAGGATGCCGGCCTCATTGGTGCAGTTACCTGGCTTCGCCAGGGGTGTGTTCCGGTCACCGAGGAAAGTACCTGGAAAGTCTCGAGTCAGAGTGCTGCAATTTACAAGCGGGACGCGCCGTAGAGGGGTTTTTTGTTAGTGTACATACATTGTTGAAAGCGGCATCCAAAATCAGACATCTTGAAGGACCGCCCATAGCTGGAGACACCAACGACGACTTTGTCGGATGGCATGCCGGCCTTGGTGACCATCACCAGGGCGTTGTATGTCTCGGTGGAGTTGACGTGAGATCGGAGACAGTTTCCGGCTGGGCAGCCATCCATGGCATCCGGGTTGCCAACATCCCATTGACCTGTTGCGAGAAGTAGGTTGTTAGTAGGCACAACACAAGGCGGGAAGAATAGGACAATACACTGAAGAAAGAAACACTTACCATGAAGATCATAGGCCATGTATACCATATAGTCCAAAATACTAGCCATATCGGAAACTCTAAATGCCTTGAGATAGTAGTAGGAAGCTGGTGCTGCAACAGAGACCGATTTCCCAGTAGCAAGCTTGCCGCGAACAGTGGCCAAGAACTTGAAATAGTTCAACCCATCGTCCGCTTGGCCGGGCTCAGCACCAGGGATGTCCGAAGCTCCAGGGTACTCCCAATCAAAGTCGAGGCCGTCGAGATTATGCTCGTTGGCAAATGCGACAACGCGGTCCGCAAAGGCGTTCCGGTTCGCCGGCAGGGTTGCCAGCCGGAAGAGCCCCGAGGTGGCAGGATCGTTGGAGAACTTATAACCGCCGAATGCCACGACCTTTCTGGCCTTGATCTTGGTGCTGTTCTTGAACTTGGCCCACTGCTCTGCGGAACTGTCTGGGATGACGACCTGGAGGTCAGACGAAATCGTGGCAAAGCCAAAGTGGATGTGCGTGTATGACTCGTCAAAATCCTCAACGTCCATTGTGCCGCACGGGCGCTCCTTGTTGTATCCCTGGAAGTAGCCTATCTTGCGGTATTGAGCCGGAGGCTTGTCATTGCCCACAAGCTTCATACCACAGTTGGAGATGCAGCCGGTCCCATCAGGGTTCGTGGTGCCAGGGTTGCCCGTCTCCGTGTTAGGGAGGGTGCAGTACAGGGCTGTTGTCCCGCAATATCCCCAGGCATTGCAGCAGGCATTCAGAGGACACTGGTTAAGATCAGCCAGGCTTTCGCCATTGCTAGGCTTGCTGGTGCCAGGGACCGTTGGGCCACAGATGGTTCCTTCAACTGCTGCCGGCATCGGGGGGTTGCCCTCGCTCACACAGATTCGCTGCGCAACATTGAGGGCACAGCCGTTCCACGCCCAAGTCTTCTTGTTAAAGTTGTACAAGTCATCTACCGTTATGCCATAGGTGGCTGCAATCAACGAGCAGTATTGACCAGATGTAACGTCATGAGTGGCACAGGTGCCATCTGGTTGCGGTACCGGCTTCGGTGGGAGGGTCCCAGCCGAGCAGCAAACACGCTGACCGGGTGCGAGAGTATTGCAAAATGTGCTACCGGGGTTGTAGGAGAGGAAGTCAGAGAGGCTGATCCCGCAACGAGTAGCGAGCGTGCCACACAAGTCGCCGCCGGCAACCGTGATAGTACGGCACTCATCTCTTGGGCTGAGATTTCGGAGGGCACGATGCTTGATTGTGGATGGTGCACTTAAAGATGAGATCTCGGAGTCTTTAATCTCCTTGGATTTGCCACTGTCAACGTCAGGGGCACAGTTTCCATCAGTCCACGATCTCACAATCGACTGGACAGTGGCGAAGTCACCAGCGGTATCCGCCACAACACCAAAGATATTGGGTGAGGCCCGATCCTTGTCGCATACCTCGAGAGTCTTGCGGCTTGCTGACCCGCTCTCACCCTTCCATTCGTCAATGAATTTCTGAAGAAGAGACGAAGCCGTCTTTTGGTCATCCAACTGGACACCGGCATACATGCCAACAAGTGCTCCTCGGACGTAGGAAAAGATGATTCTCTCACTACACTTGTTTTCATCTTGCGGAAGATTGTTCTTGAGATTCTCAATAGCAAGAGCAATATCGGCCTTTTGGTCGCTGGTGACGGACTCAGATCCATCCCACCAGGATAGTTTGGCTGTGGCAGAAGAGGAAGTAGAGGTACCGCAGGTACTCTTGTCGTCGCTTCGGCGCTTGAGCGAACGGGCCACAGCCTCATTCTTGTTCTTGACCTCAGTGCCGAGATTTTCAGTCTCAAGAAGATAGTTGACTTTGGTGTCTGCATCCCCAAGAGTGCAAGCACGGATGGTGAGGGCCGATTTGTTCTGACCAAAACCGGTATAGAGGTTGTAGTCGAGGAGGATTGGCTCGCGACACACAGACAGCCTCTCAGTATCATGATAATGAGTCCAACCAACTGGCCCGATGTCCGCATCACAGGCTACCGGGCATGGGTTTGAACTCTTCTTGGACGCTTCAAACTGAGACAAGACGTTCTGTGCAGTTACCGCACTAGGGAGTAACAGTAGGAAGGCTGAAAACAGCCCGGTTGATGTCCACATCTTCTCAGTTAACCAGAGAGTAAGCTCTGACTCACTTTAGGTGTTCTTGAAGTTGTAGGTTGTAGATTGATGAAGAAGTAGACACTCATCAATCAACAAGTCCGGGACAACAGATGCATTTTATAAGTTTCCAATGGTTTCCAACTCGGTCGTCGAGCTGTGGGAGTACATGGTGGTGATGGAAGCCTGAGGACACTGCCTACAGCCTAGACCTTCTCGTATGACCATTTCTAGAGTATAATGTAACTTCAAGGGCAGTGAAAAATTGTGCTATGCCATATGAGGAGGACAAGAGATGCCTTCACGAGGAGTTCACGACTCGAAGAGTCGGGCGAGGTCGCCGTTCATCAGACGATTGATATGCAATGCAACATCGAAACTCGAACTTTGGAGTCTTGGGCTTGGCTTACACCCGAGCCATGAGAGTGCCAAGGAGCTATATGCCAATAGTCTGAGGCTGAGACATCAGAAGGAGTCTCCTCGTGGAAGTCACGTTCAAGTCGATTGATCAATTACGACCCTGGAACTCTGACTCATTGGAGGATAGCTAAGGCATCAGCGGGGTCCCCTCGCCGTCCTGGATGCGGGAATTTTCAAAAACACGTTGTTGAAAAAGGGAAGGTTAACCAGGGGTCAGCCAGGGGACATCGCGCCGATAGAAAGGATCTTTGGAAAAAGAACTTCGGACCCGCCAGTAAGGCTGCCTGGCCGGATGACATACCTTGGACTTGGAGAAGTGAGTGCCTGTGCCTTGCGGCGGTCCTCATACCCGGCTGTCGTTGCATTGGAGAATTGTCTGACCCCAGGCTGACCAACCATGGGTGAGAAAAACGAGAAAAGGGCAAGGCATACACGGACCCTGCGCTCGCTTGAAGTGACTATCGCGAATACTTAACCGTCTACGCTCTCTGACCCACTACTAATCTGACATTGAGGTCTAGATACGCTTGGCTGGGCCTGGCACAGCATTGCCCACTGAGGAAAATGAAATTATCCGTGCCAGGTTAAGTGTGACAGTGATCTACAACGTCAAAGAAAGAGGTTTGTTGCAAGGTACTCTAGAAGTCATAAGTAAGCACTAGGTGTGATATGAAATCATGTAAAAATAGTCGTATTCTTAATCAGTCAACACCATCCAACATGTGGCATAATTAATTTTGAGGCAAAGCTGCCTGGTGCCAATATCACCTTACCCATGTCAAGGCACTCTGTGGAGAATGTGGAGCATGCTTGCCAGCTACTGCCTCTGCCCCTTGGAAAGTATACGGTTAAAGCAACGTTGTAAACAGGAGCCCGGAGCCGAAAGCCGTCTTTTGGGTCTGATGCAGGGTGTGTCATGACGCGGCTATGGTTCCCCCAAGGCATTGGAAGGAATTCTCCACCTTTCATCTGCTTCGCGCAGACATGATTGTTCCTGTAGTTGACTCGACGGTGTTTCCATATTCCTAGCACTTGATTGGGAGGGCCAGTGTGAATGCCTGTGCTCGCGGTCCAGTTACTGCGGTATGAAAAGGAGCGAAGATCTCTGACTAGCATGAAATATCACCTAATGGGCACAATAAAGTAAGAGCATCATGACATTAGAGGATTGGCTACTGAAGAAAAGAAGCTCGATGCGTCAAGCGCAGGATAACTGACAACCTGTGTCTCAACCGACAGGTAGCTTTACTGCAGTCATCTCCGTCTTGGCGAAAGTTTCGGGTTCGAGCCAGCCACGGTGTGACTCACCGATAGTTTGGAAGACTCCTCAACTTCCTTGGGCATCTTTCGCTCTTCTTCGATGATCATTCGTTCTTTCAGTTGCTGATTTGGAATAAAAATCATTTACCGACATTTCCTAACATCATCATCTTCATAGCTGCCACTCTAGAGAACAAGCTCAAATCGTTATGTTTTGCTATTTCGGGTGTTCGACGCGCATACACTGGTGGTCATTGATAGTCATGATCATTAAAGCCTATTCCAAACGCAGCGCTCGTCACAACTGTCTATTCAATCAATTCAATCGATTCAGTGTGTTTTGACATTTACATGGCCTCCTCTGTAATGTAATCCTTCAAAAAATTGCACGAAGCCAGTACGGGGGAGAGTTCGAGTGTAAAGTGAAAACAATAATAGAATACTCCACGCCCGACATCTCAACACAATGGATACGAAGCCAGTACATAATCCTCTACCATTCACAGCGATGGTACTAATGCACAGTCGAACCAATCCTTGCGTGGCTAATGTTAGGTTGATCCCTCAACCATGACGCCAATTTTGCACCGACCATATTGCCAGCCTAGACGGGGTGAGACAAGCTACAGATTTTCCCAACAGATTACGAGATAAATAGTACGAGACGCAGATCTGAATGAACGGTTAGTCACTCATTCATTCAGGTTTATCAGAAAATAAGACGAATACCGCATGGCATCATGAAAGAGGCGTTATAGCTACGCCTAACTATAATAAAAGCTTTGTTGTTGTAATGCATTTACTGGCAGCGTAGAGCCATCATTTCCCAGGGATACACAAGTTTTACGGGGGAAAGAGGCATACCGTATTGAGCAATTATTGCTTCCAAGGAATAATGTGCTCACCTATCCAGAACCAAATATTAGACCAGTACAGCACCTACAAATCGGGAATGGGGGGGATTTGTTATCTGAGACAATTGGCTCAGCCGCTGCTTCCATAAGCTGTTCTTTTGAGCTGACTGGCCTGTCGATGAAAGCTAGAAAGGCCGTAATGCGGCACGGCATGCATGTCGCAGGTAAGCTGAAAGAAGTAGCTCCGGCTGAAACGAATAAGGAGCTATATACTCCCTGCTCCGACCAGAAAGAGTTAGATGTGGGCTATGGCGACTGATCATCTCTGAGATCGGCTTTCCTTTTCTACGTGATAAAGATACAGGTCATATTCCTGTGACCAATAGTGCATGGGCCCAGCCTGGACGCGCCAGCTTTCCATGCAAAGGACCTCCAACTGAGACACATGTATGTGTTGGTCCTTGGCCACGGGCGGTTACTGGGCAAGAGCACCAATAAGGATCAAGATAGATCGGCCTCGCCTAAATGTAACACAAAGAAGCAAAGCGCCGCTGACGCAGGGCGCTAACAATAACAACAAGCAAGATGTTGGTTCTATCTCATTGGTAGCTGTTCAACCAGCTGAACTTAGTGTCGCATGTGATCTGCGCCATTTATCTATTTCCGAGCATGAAGCTCAATCAAGAGCAACGTTGTACAACTATATAAACGAGGGCGATTCTATGTTGGGCAGCTGAGAGGGAGGAACTTCACAAGAAAGTCCCGACCGTCAACGCTAACACCAAGTCGAAAGCAATGAATTCGTTCCTAGACGACAGAACGGTTTGTATCCATCACATTCACCTTAAACTTCATTTACTAAGTGCTCCTCTAGTCGATGGCCGCGAGGATTTCCATGGAAACTTCCAACAGCCTTGTTCAAGCGTCAAAGTCCACGTTAGTATTTCTTTTGCGTTCTAGAGTCATCCCTGGTTCCTGTCTCTGACTACTATGCCGACCTACAGTGATTTTTTCGCCTATGGAAAGCATGTTGAGTATGGAAAGAAATCTGGCAAGTCGCCGCAAGAAATCCTTCAGGATGGGTCCGAGTTTGGAGGAGAAGTCATAGTGGAAGGGGGCGGAACGGTTACGCAGGGCAATGAAATCAAAGGAGACATTGACGCAAGGGCTATACGTCAAACCGGCTCTAGATTCATGTCAAAAGCTCGTGTGAAGGATCAGAATTCCACCTTTTATCAGAGGAACCTCATTGAGAAATGGACTATGTAGTCTCCTCGCGGATATTGGATCTAATGGGTTTCTCAATAAGCAAATAGAAACCATCACACCAATGGGTAGATCGGTTGCGGACTCTTCCTTAGCAATATCATCTTGTTCCCGTTAAGATTTGGTTTGTAAAGATCTGGTGTTAAAAATGGAAGTGTTTGAATCTCATTTTCCACGGAAAATATGCAAGATGGCACCACCATCACCTTCAGATCGGATATCTTCGGATCTTGACCTGAAACACGGCTATTTAGGTTTTCCGGAGAATTAACCTTTAGGGTTCTCATAGAGACATAGATTATTGGGCGTACGATTCTGTAATTTTTATATCTCAGTGAGTGCGATTAGCAGCTTCTGAACTCTTGTCGCAACAACACACCTAGTTGTACAAATACTCCCATTCCAGATTTGTAGAACTTACTCTTACCAAACTAGTTCATAACTTTCTCTCTTATGAAATTTAAGTAACTAGAGTATTTCTATCCCTTCATCATACGGCATCCATCGCACTTAAAAAGCTAGGGTAACAGATTCCATTCAAGAACACGTTGAGCTTCCGAAAACTTGTATTCATTGCTCAATAGTAGATATATGTTGTAAATTTTCTGTAAAATACTATCACGGGGCGTATGCTCCCAGCATACAATACAAGCTTCTTACTTTTGCCCAAACTTCTGGTAGACCAACTGCTGAAATTTAGCATGTTCCTGCATCACCGGCGGGAACATTGGGGGCAATATCTGAGCAATGCAAGTGCCAAAGACACCAGCTTTGCTGTCAATAAACCACTGGCTGGTCGTAGCGCCTGCCCACAACACAGTTCCCTCCGAACAATGCCTCTCGATGTCCTGCTTCACGAACATGCCAGCGAGGCTCCAGGTGACCCTGTGAGCTGGCGCAATGCCCAAACCAAGCAAATGAGTATACACCGGTGAGCTCGCAATACAGTCGTTCATGGCTTGCTCGCATACCTCGTCAAGCTGCGGCCGGAAGAGCTCCTCGTATGAACTGGGTTTCAGGAGCTTGGGATCGCGCTGGGCGACGGCCGAGAGGAAAGTGAAATGCGCGCGGGGGGTAATCCAGCAAGGCCCGCCGCCCAAACAGTCCGTTGCTCCGAAACGCGCGTCAAACTGCTCGGCATAGACGGCTGGTGGCTCGCCCTTTTCGCTGAGCGTGCTCACGGTGGCCAGGCGGTTTTTCATGTCATCCCTAAATTCGGGAAAGAAACTGGCATCGTTTTCGATTCCCAATGGTGTCCATATGCGAGCACGCATGAATTCCTCGAGGGTCATTCCGGTCGCTTTCTCAATTGCCTTGCCCGCCCAGTCATGGCCATGGCCGTATGCAAACCCGGTCCCGGGAGTAAAGAGCAGAGGCACTACCGACTTCTCCTCGATAGTCTTGCCTAACCATGGCGTCTCATTACGAGATGCCCGCCATTTAGCTATTGTCGAACTGATGAAATCATACTCGTGACCCGAGGTGTGTGTGAGAAGCAGTCTCAAGGTGATCGGCGTAGTGTTTGGTTCGAGAATCGGGGTGTCACCATCAAAGCCAGTGAGGATCCCATGCTTGCCTATGTCAGGAAGCAAAGACTTTATATCCTGATCGAGGTCGAGTTTTCCATCTTCAACACACTGGAGCACCGCAACCGAAGTCATTAGCTTCGTCATAGAAGCAACAATGCACAGGGTGGACTCAGTGAGGGGAAGATCAGAGCCATCTTTCAGGCTTGCTTTGCCCACTGATTTAGTGTATAGAAGTTTACCTTAATTGAAGAAAAATTAGTTAGTTGAGCAATTGAATGAAAAATACTCCCATAGTGCAAGTTGTATCGTGGGGGGGGAACCTACCACTTTTATCTCCTGCAAAGACAGAAACGCCCGGGAGCAGCCCAGCCGCCACGAGATCGTCGTATATCTTTTCAATCTCTTCGGACATGGTTAACGACTTTGTGGCTATCAGGCTGGAGTGGTAAGTGAATGGAAAATAAATGAAAAAGAGAAAAGAATCGTGCCACAAACAAATTCTCGAACTACGTGTCGGAACTCCGCTCCGCACGTATGACCCATGCTCGGAGGATCTTGCCACATGGGTCTATATTGTCCACCATGATTGCCGGTCAGTCAGCATTTCCCTCACAATCTGGACTCGTCAGACGATTTCGAGTTGCCTTGTTAGTGACGTATAGGAGCAGGGAGTCCCATTCCAAATGCTGACACCGCCACCTGCTGGGCCAAGCAAGTGGATTACCTATGCAAGGGGATAACAATTGTTTGCGCGTTCTCGTCCCTTTTTGTATACAAGAGATCAAGATTCTTGCTTGGGAATTCTCTAGCTAGCTCCTGGGTTACAATCGACTCAACCGCCGCTTACTGTTAGAGAAACAGATACATGGGACAAGACCGAGTAGAAGAAGTACTGTTATACCTCACTTGGCACGCAGCGCCTAGCCAGTTTACACATATTTACTCCATCCAGAGCAACGTGTTTTGACATCAAAAGGCCAACAGCGTAGGAAGTTTTGCGGTAGTGCAAATACTGCCTGCCTATTCTGCTATAGCAAAGTAAGCAGTATTCCCTAGTATCTAAGCCTATTGAAGGTCCCCTACTAGTGGGACAACTCAAATACAGGGGTGACAAGAGGCTATCAATAGTGTAAAGCCCTTTATCAGATCTCAGGGTTCTTTCTATTATATCAGCCTTGGCAAGGCCGACATTGTACACACAGTTATGCCACCAGGCGGTACTTTGGCAGTCGAGTCGGTCAAAGCTTAAAGGCATCCCGAGGAGTCTCCCTCTGCCAGCCGGCTGATAAGCTCCTTGAACCCCAAGAAGATCTTTTCAACTTACTAGGGTAGGTTTATTCAACGTTAAGAATTAAAATTGTGCAACTAAAAGGCTTATAACCCCAAAATTGAACATGAATTTAGGGTAACTTGTGCTTTTCGAAGTACTTCCCTTTAGAGCTCTAGAGAGGATGGGTGATTGCGTGTCCACCCAGTTGGAAGGAGGGCGAACCTCTTAAAATCTTCTCTTTGTCCTCGAATGATGCCGCTGACTTCTTAATTCTAAAAATTAAATAAAACATTAAGAAATATAATTCAGATGGGACTTGATATCTGCCCCCATATCCAGCAATTAGAGCCTCCCTATTCCGGATATCATTAGCTACAATATTTAACACTGGGAATTCTGTTATATTCAGAAAGACAATAAGAGCTGCTCGGCTGTCCATGGTATTACACTCTTTTTCTTTTTCTTTTTGATTTGTTTTGACTTTTTCTCCTCCTCTTTTCCGCAGCTCAAATATTTGTATGTTTGTGTGCGCCATATAGAACTTGATGCCGCAACGTCCTCAATCTGGATAATATGTACGACGGGCTCATGACGCAATATGGACCCTTTGATTTCGTCCCCTAAAATATATGGAATCTATAGGCTAGCTAAAGCATGATTGGCTCGATTCTGCTTTATACGAGTAGCGCCGTGGACCCAATCTCGGCACAGCGAGCTAACGCAGCGTTATTAATGCCGAAGCACGTCAACCATCACCATGATTGTGTGCTCCAGTGCCGAATAGTATGTAAGAGTTTCAAACTCCCCAACTTGTAGTTTCAATTTTTTGTATTTCTTCAGCGGACCACCACATTGTTCACCGATAGTAAAAATGACTGCAGATTCCAACACTGAAGTGCCAAAAGGCAACAACGCCCCCAGTGCTGCCGGAACATCCGTACCAGCGGGGGCTGAAATCCCTTTACATCCGCCCCCTCATGTAGAGATCCTAGAACGAAATATCGACACCTCGAGGCAACTGAGAGTGGCAGTGATTGGAGCGGGACTGTCAGGGGTTACAGCAGGAATACTCCTCCCTGCAAAGGTTCCGGGAATCAAGCTCACAATCTTTGAAAAGAACGCCGATGTGGTTCGTATTAGTTTTCTTCCATTCTTAGTTCTACATGTGATCTTCCATGCTAAGAAATATTCAGGGTGGAACATGGTTCGAGAATGTTTACCCCGGTGTGAGGTGTGACGTTCCAGCGCATGTATACCAGTCAACATTCGATCCAAACACGCAATGGACCGAACAGTTTGCACAGGGTGCCGAGATCAGAGACTACTGGCAAAGCCTAGCCAAGAAATACTCTGTGTATCAGTATCTCAAGCTATCTCACCAGGTGCAGGACCTAAATTGGGACGGTTCCAAGGGCAGTTGGTCCATCCGCGTCACAAACCTTTTGAACCAGCAGGAGTCGGTCGAGGAGTTCGACTACGTTCTGACAGCTATTGGGCGATTCAATGCCTGGAAGCTCCCCGACTACCCTGGAAGAGATGATTTCAAGGGTTTGTTAAGACATGCCTCGCATTACGACCCATCTTTTGATCTGAGCGGAAAGCGCGTCGCTATCATTGGGAACGGGGCGAGTGGCATCCAGCTTACTGCGAACATCCAGAAGAGGGTCGCCCATCTAGATCACTACGCACGAAACAAGACCTGGGTCACGGCATCCTTTTCTGGTGACGTGACCTCTCTCTCCCCCATCGAGATCCCACCAGAGAAGAGGGAATCCTTTGCCGACCCCAAGGAATACCTCAAGTATCGCAAGCAGGAAGAGGAGAAGTACTGGAGAGGTTTCAAAGGCTGGCTCAAGGGCACTAAGGAGAACGAGGCGCGCCGCGCTGAGTATCTTAAAATTTATCAAGACAGACTTGCAGCCCACCCAGAGCTGTTAGAGAAACTTGTCCCAGATTTCTCTCCTGGTTGCCGCCGCCCCACGCCAGGTCCGGGGTACCTTGAAGCCATCTCATCAAGCAATGTGGAATATATCCAAACTGAGATCAAGCGCTTCACCGAGACTGGCATAGAGACGACTGACGGGAAGCATCGTGAGGTCGATGCAATCTTCTGCGCTACCGGGGCTAACGTGGATCAAGTACCCCCGTTCAAGATCTACGCCAACGGAAAGGAGCTTGGGGAAGTCTGGAAGAGAGGTGGTGAGTTTGGGTCACCTTACACCTATCTTGGTGTATCGAGCCCAGGCTTCCCCAACCTCGGCTTTATCCTTGGCCCTTATGGATTCGGCAGTTCCGGCTCCATCCCTTACACTGTCGAGGTTCAGATTGCCTTCTACTCCAAACTTCTCCGTAAAATCGACCTCGAGGGGATCAAATCGATACAGGCAAAGAAGGATGCCACGGACGAGTTTATTCAGTGGAGCGATTCCCTTTTCCAGAAGACGGTACTGTCCGACAACTGCAGCTCTTGGTACAACGGAGGGAACAGAGGCGGGAGAGTCCATGGAATATGGCCTGGTAGTTCTGGCCACATGGCTACAGCTCTTCGTCAACCAAGGTGGGAAGATTGGGAATACGAGCTTCTCAATAAATCAGGAAACCGTTTTGCTTGGTTTTTCGGGAACGGAGTTACCTCCAAGGAATTAGATCCAGAGGCTGATGTAACAAGCTACCTGAAGGAGCCTTCCCAAGTTGATATCAAAGATGTCCATGAGACCTGGTGGGGAATTCCATAGGCTCATTTAGCATTCTATGTCATAATATGTTAAACTTCGAAAACTCAGCCGTGTGATGATTCCTCAAGTCATTCTTTCATTCACTTTTTTACATTCTTTTGTCTTATCACTCGTTAACCCGTACCCAACCACGTTCACCAGCGCGCCTCGCCACGAAGAAACAACTAATATCTACAGCAATAACGAAGACAAAACAAAACTTAGAATCCACCGTTGGGATGAATAAGTACCTTGGTGTAGCCGTCGATTCTCTTGTCGAATTTCTCGTAGGCGACTTCTGCGTCCTCGATGCCAATCTCGTGTGATACAACAAAGCTAGGCTTTGCCCTACCCGCAATGATCAAGTCTCTCAAGTATCGGTTGTATGATTTGACATTGCACTGTCCAGTTGCAAGTTTAAGACCCTAAAGAAGAACTTTTAGTATGTAAATTGGACAATGGCCTTTTCTTTATAAAACATACCTTCTCGAAGAGTTTGCCGAAGCTGAGGCTAATCATGCCCTTAGCAGCAGCAGAGTCTGGGGCACCGGGATCGCTGTTACCGTTGTTAGTTTAATCTATCTCTTCAACTACAAGGTTAATTACATACCTTGGGACATAGAGGCCTGGAATACCAAGACCGCCACAGGCCCGGGTAACCTTGATCATGTTCTCGAGCACAATGTTAGGCTCCTCCTTGTTGCCTCCGCTGCCGACGGCCTGATAGCCGACGGCATCAACAGAGCGGTCGACCTCACCGCCGTTGGCCTTGATGATCTGCTCCACGGCATCACCCTTGCTAAAGTCAATGGGGATGGCGTTAATCTTCTTCGCAGCAGCGAGACGCTCAGGAACACGGTCGACAACGAAGACGTTGCTGGCACCACGCAGAACGGCGGAGTAGGCAGCCATGAGACCGACGGGGCCAGCGCCAAAAACAGCGATGGACTCACCCGGCTGGAAGCCAGAGATTTCCACACCGTGCCAGCCGGTGGGGAAGATATCTATTTGGGGTGGTTAGCAGAGAATAGAGGATGCGCAGTTGAGAACTAGGCGACTTACCAGCAAGAAGGATGAAGTCGGCCTCGTGCTCCTTTCCTGGAGGGAGCTTCAGGGCATTAAAGTCGGCGTAGGGGATCCGGATGTATTGTGCTTGGCCTAGCGAGGAAGTTAGCATCCCATCTTACCAGGCGAAGCAGCGATTCAGTAACTTACCTCCTCTGTAAGGGCCCATAGCAACGTATCCTGTGCGATTAATCAATTAGCCAAAATACAGTGTAGTTTTGATGCCCTTTCCAGGCAATTGACTTACCATATGCTCCTCCAGCAAATCCAGGGTTAACACCAGTACAGAAAGCGGTCTTGCCCTCTTCGCAGTTGCGACACCGCCCATCAGCGACATTGAAGGGCATGACTACACGATCGCCCTTTTGCAGGAGCGTAACACCTTCACCCAGCTCCTCTACGATACCCATGTTCTCATGACCTACGGAGGGGTGTTAGTGGTGAACAGTCATGTGCAATGGAGACATTGGTGTCTGACCGAATGTGATGCCGGGCTCAGCCGCTGTTCGGCCTTCGTACATGCTTCGACATTGTAAGTAGGGTCACCAACGAATGTTTGGATAGCCGTGGCCTACTGTAGATCAGAGCCGCAGATGGCAGCCTAGGTGGAACTTGATCAGTCGAATGTACCTGTCAACACATGGATCAAGCATACTCACGGTAGTAACTTTGACGATGATGTCGTCAGGATGTTCAATCTTGGGCTTGCTGACTTCTTCCACCTTGACCTTGTGGGGGCCAACATAGTTGACGGCCTTCATAGTGTGGGAAGCCATCGTGATGATTGAAGGCAGCTCCTGGGGTAATACGAAATATGGGACAGAATCAAGAGTGGGGGAAGCGGATAAACTTCAAAGAGATGAAAGACATCACCAGCCCATCGATTCCACATGCGAAAATAAGATTATTTATACTTGATCTACCCTTCCTTCATAGCCGACACTACCCCAGGACAACTTTCGGACAAGCTTCGGTATCCGCGGATACAAAATGCGGGGAGATGAGAAATGGGGATGGAAGGTGTCTTTCAGCATCAGCAGACGGGCAGAGGTGGATGGAACCTAATCACCAAGTCGTCGTCACTGCTCCAATGCGGAGATGTGCCTTGACTCCATTTCCAGGCCAATCCACCGAAGCCAAGCTACACAATAGGAACTGCTGGCCGATCCAATGGACAGTCAAAACCAGGTTCTAGACGGGGAGGGCCAATCACGCACAGGACATGACCGATGCCTGAATACGCCGATGAAACCCCCACTCCTGTTCTACGCCTTAGTTGCGAGTGGGAGGGGAAAATGGGGGAGGAGTTCTTGGAAGGTTGGAAGGTTGGAAACTCGCCGTCAAGCCCCGCGCCGGGAGGAAATTGCCCTTTTCAGCGGTCACTAGCAGCACTACATAGACTAAAATCGGAGATCCAAGTTATGGCCGATGTGAGTGAGGGTGAGGGTGCGCCTGAGTAAGTTGGCAAGGTCCAGTCTCGGTGCAAAATCAACTAGTCCGGCTTCCCCCATCGCTGAGGAAGCATTGCCAAAAGTAGCTCACCATCTTTTCCGGCAAATGTCACCAGTCACCTGTCTCGCGCGAGTCTCTGCTCACTAATATCTCGATACGTTGCGTTTGGCTTCCCCGCCTCGATCCACATTGCCCCTCATCCGCCCTCTCAGCTTACCAGGAAGGGTAAATAGTTCCGCGGGGAGGGTGATCGGGGATTCTTGCAGCTTGAATCCAACGAGGAGTTGGCTTTCCCAATCTGTATCATTCTGGAAGGTTTTTTTGAGTAGGTACCTTGGGCCATCGTGGCATTTAGAAAAGCGAGACGGTACAGAAATAGACTTCCCTCCAACAAACTTGCTGCCGGTGTGCCTCCTATTTGTGACTCCCCCGTTTCGCATTCATTTTGGAATAACGCCAACAGAACCACGAAGATACCCCTCTGCTATGAGTGTCGGGTGGTGACAGCTATAGGCATTCGGATCAGTGGTTGATCCTCATCATAAAATCCGTATTCTCACACTTGTAAGCGGGAATTGGGCTTTAGTATGCCTAAATGCGGAGTCAACTTCGGCATAAATTTTGCTAGTAACAAGCGAACTCCAGTCATTCAAGACGAACATCATAAGCAATATCCATGACGGCGATCCTCCAACCCAACAGGCGCCTAGAAGGCTAACAGAGATAGCCAGAACGTGACAAGGAAATTGCTAAAATTGAGCACCGGCGTCTTCTCTTTTATTAAGAGTTTAAATAATCCAGTTCTGCCTATGCAACCACTATAGTCGGGGACAATAACAGTCATCAAGTCTTCTAGGGGTACCTTGCACAGGTTGTCCGACCGACGCTGAGTGACTCCCAAAAGACTCAACACTATTTCGATCAACGAGGTCATTTAATAAATAAATTAGATTAGAACTTCTCCTGTGTGCTATAGAGCTAGTCAACCGATCAAGATTACTTCGAATACGGCTTCACGTATAAGTTCGCATCATACGCATTTCTCATACGCATGACTTTTTAACATTTGTCTAACTAGAACTAGCAGATAGATGCTCCCTCATCCCGCAAGTCATTTCTAGTTTATCAGTGATACACGAGCAGTAGGAGAACATACAAAATTAAACAAAGCTCGAGTCCAACTCTTATTCAGCCAGGCCATTTTAACGGATCCCCTGTGTTGATAGCACTTGAACTCGTCGTAAAAAATTAAGGAAGAATAGTCATAAGAACCCAAGTAGTTCACACTGAATCTCGAAGGCCTAGTCAGGCATTGTTCAGACAGTAACGTAGCAAAGTTACGAAAGGAAGACGATAGAGGCGCCTAATTGGGCTTACAGGTTCAGATCACACGTCCATGCCCCTTCAAAGACTTTTCTTGGTCTATCCGCCAGGCCTTGACTCTTCAAGTATCTATCCTCAATTGAACGAACGATACTTAGGACAGAGGCTTGCGCTTAATTCTTTAAAGCACGGGAAGCAGGCTTCAAAACACCAGGTATAGTTTAGATACACCCCTGAGCTTTCTCAATTTTCAAAACCTATATCCTGCATAATTGGTTTAAACAGACGACTTCCCGGCCAGCTCGGTGTCCCTCGTGGACCAATTCAATATTGGCGTACCGTTAAACAGTATGTATAGATCCTCTATAGATCAGAGAAGATACAAGCCTTTCAAGTCTTGGGCACTTTGGCCAGAGCATTCCAAGACTCTTCCAATACTTGAATCGAATGTGCCAAATTTCTTTAGCTGATATTGAATTCATTTTCCTTATGAGGCATGGGAGTATCAGGTGTGAAGTTGCCATGCCGCCACACCAACGTTCACAAAGCCATACAGATCATCACCGGTTCGTCATCAATTGCATCAAAACTTGAAAGATGTTGAGATCAGCCATGTCCTACCAGCGCCGCGCATTGGTAGGTATCGCCTCCCATTACGAGCCCTCACCCTTTGTCTCGCGAGAATGTCTCCGCTCAGCCTTGTCACACATCCTTCGGGCTAGACCTCTGAGCTATGAGACATAGGAGGGGATAAAAGAAACACTGCATAAAAATATGGTAATAAATTGGAAAACTATGCAGACGCAACAGGCCGCATTATTCTCAGTCTGCAGACGACTAAGACAGACAGGTTGAAACTCCATATGCAGAACTCGCCAGGCCAATCAAACCATGCCAACTACCGCCGAATGACGACACGAAGCGGCATATCCAGCTTGTCGTAGCTGAGGGCTCAGCCTGTCCACGCGTTGGCCAATATGTCAGCGAGATTCCGAGGCCGCATGTGGCCACCACTTATTTAAGACACGGATTATCGTGGGCTTCCTGTTTTGTTTCAGCTCTCGGAACTTTTGGAAGGGCCGAGAAGGGCTCATGGGAGAGGTGATTGATGCATCTTTTCCCAGATCGATCGATCTACCTGCAGAGCCGTCTCGGCGCGGTCCGTGCCAAAGACACTATCGATTCTCCATGGCATAATCATGCAGTCAGGATGCAGCTACTGCCGAGATTCGGGGGTTGTAGCCAACCAGACCATCCTCTGTCCCGCTCGTGGCTGTGATGATGTGGTCGGTCTCAGTTGAGACCGCCTCATCGTCAGAATGACTGCAAATGCCTCTCAGATGGCGTCAGTCTATGGTCAATGTTCCCGAATCCGAGTGACAACATGGCTCCCTATTCAGGCTCGCTGTCGGAATCGCGGCAGTTTGTTGTGCTCACAGCGCCAAGTAGTCGTCATTCGCTCCATGATCGTCGACGAGTTTCGCGAGAAGTGCAGAAATCCTTCCGTGTCTTGGCTACGACGATCCAATGCACTCTGCACATTTCAGACCCCGCCCTGAGGCCAACTCCGGATCCTATTTGCAGCCATAGACAGAGTCAGAGAGAAGTTGAAGGAGGCCTTGACCACACCCAGTGGATTCCCGATGGTGCTCATTATCTTGGGCAGCTCCGGAGCTTCTGGGTATAAAACCATTCCCATCCCTGCCCATCTTCCAGAACTGACTCTTCTTTCTCGCAAGTCTTTTGTCATTGTCAACGTTGATCAATATGGTCTATACAAGAGAAGTTTCGCTTTTGCTTTCCGGCCTGGTACGTACACCCCGTCTCATAGCCATTAGTATAACATATTCTAACTCCTCCTCCTAGGCTGCAGCGGTGGTCGGCGCCGACATCCGCATCGACACCGACTTCTCCGCAGTCTCGTGGGCTGATCCCCGAGTTGATATATTTGGCGTCGGGCCAGATGAATCATCCCTCTGGCACAAGTTCTGGACCGGTTATGACTGGCAGCCGCGGGGCGGCTTCGAGCGTGTCCCAGCTGCCGAGGCCGGCCCTCCCTCCACCAGTTCTTGGTATGAGGGCCGACTTGACGTCGTGTATGTGAACGCCTCTGGCAGCAATGTGCTCCACAAGTACTATGACGATGCCTGGGGTGGCTGGGGTCCCTCTTGGGAGGACGTCGAGGACCTCGGCGGCAACGTCACGTTCGTCACCAGCACCTCCAGGAGTCCGGACAGACTGGATCTTGTGGGCAGGTCCGGGGACTCGTACGTCTTCAAGGCTTGGATTCACGAAGGCTGGCTACCCAGTGGCAAGGAATGGCAGACCTTTGGTGGTGATTTCGCCAGTGACCCTGCCATTGCCTCCTGGGGCCCTGGCCGTCTCGATGTTGTCGGGATCTCCAAGGACGGCTCCCTCGAGCATCGGTACTACCAGCATGGCCTATCCAACTGGGAGACCCTTGGTGACGGTCCATTTCACGGAACTCCCCGCATAACCTCGTGGGGAGAGAATAGACTAGACATCTGGGCCTTGGGTGAGGACGGAGAATTGAACCATCTCTTCTGGGATGGCACACAGTACCAAGCCTGGGAAAGCCTTGGGGGTAACTTCACCGAGATCCCCCAAGTCGTGCATTGGGAAGCTGGGAAAATCGACATCGTTGGTAAGGACGGCGACACATTCGTGCTCAAGAATTACGACGGTTTCAATTGGAACGGGTGGTATAACCTGGCGAGTTCCTTTGCATCCGAGCCCGTCGTGCTTGCAAAGCAAGGAGAAAGTAAGTAACACTTGTCCTACCTCCTCGGCAGCCTTGAGCCAGGCATATACTTACCATGCAATTCAGACTTCCTTACCGTCCTAGGTATCGACAATCAGGGAGGTTTGAGAAGCCAGATCTGGAGTGGATATGATTGGCAGCCTGGTCCCCATGAGACCTGGTACCTCGGAGATCTGGCGTGGCCATACGGACTCAGTGATGTGAAGAATCAGAAGACTCTAGGGCCTGCAGGCGAGCTGAAGTAATGATTCAACTGCGAATTACTGTTGAACCATAGAACCACTTGAGATGGGGGCCTTATGGTAGCAAACACTGCACAATATCTTGGCTCGCAATTTGATATACAGGGCTGTGTGTCGTGGACACCAGCCGCTGCCCCTTTCCCGAGGCTTTTGACAATTTCAATGATACTCGCTTGCCTGAAGATGACATGAGCAAGAAATGCATCCTCTGGTGTACAGTAGCCGCGTGTAAGATTCCAGGCACCAGTTTAAGCCCTGATTAAGCCCCTACCCAGGATCTGTAGTGGGCATCTTACAGCTCGGCCTCATCCCAATTCAGACTGCCGTATTCCGAACAAGCTCTCGATCACTGATAAAAGGATTACTCTTGGCCATCTTACATCGTCAATGAGAAATGGCTAATGAGCCAACCAATGACCAAAGTTCCATTTTGCCATAGCAAAGGCGCAAGCAATGCGGCAAGTGTGGGATTCTGACACACGCCTTGCTGCCGATAATAAACACATCGCCCAGTCCCGAATCAACCTGCGTCTCTATTAGTTCGTAACACCGGATAGCAAACTCAGCCTTCAAGTTCCAGACTCTACGCCGTCAAAATGGCCAGCGCCTCAGATGCTGTTGTGCGAGGCAGCGAGATCTTCTTCGCCTCGCACAACCCAACCGCCACCACCACCATCGTCCTCCTCCACGCCCTGTTCGCCAGCCATCGCGAATGGGACCACGTCGTCCCGCACCTCTCGGACTACCATCTCATCGTCCCAGACCTCCCGCAGCACTCCCGCTCGCGCCACACCGGCCCCTTCACACTCCAGCTTGCCGCCGCAGAGGTCGCCAAGCTCATCAGGAACCACGCCCGCGACGGAATAGCGCACATCGCGGGCGTCTCCCTCGGCGGCTTCGTCGCCCTCGAGCTCATCCGCCGGTACCCGGAGACGGTATCGTCCGCGTTCGTCTCCGGCTCGTCGCCCTTCACGGACCAGCAGCTCTGGATCGCCCAGCGGCCCAACCTCGTCCACTGGGGGCTCTGGGTCGTCATGGGCAGCGGCGTCTACCGGCTACAGGCCTGGCTCGCCGGGCTCGTGGAGCACGGCGACCTGCAGGCGGAGATGCGGGCCAACAACAGCTACGAGCTCGCCAACTCGGCCTTCTTCGAGATGAGCACCTGGCAGTCGGACGCGGCCAGGGCGGTCGCGAGGCAGGACAGGCGCGTCCTGGTGGCTGCTGGTGAGAATGGTGATCCGAGGGACAAGGCGAGGGAGCTGGCTCACACCTTGCAGGAGGGTGGCCGCGGTGAGGGCAAGCAGACTCGAGTGTACCTTGTCAAGGACGCCATCCACACGTGGGATCTCCAGTTCCCGGAGCTCTTTGGGACAGCCATCAAGGCCTGGATCGGCAAGCAGCCACTCCCGGCTGAATTCAAGGGGCTGTGAGTTAGGCTTCACCCGCCACTGACCATCCGGAGCTGGTTCACCGCTCTCCGTGTATTTCACATCTTCAATCTACAATGTGGTTTGTGATCTCAACCAAATGGCGGTCCATGGGGGTCAACGCATGACTGGTAGCCCCCAGGCGAACACCCAAGTTCACGACCCTTCTCCGTACCTGCGTCTCCCAGCCTCCGCGTGTCATGTTAGGGCGGTAAGCCCCTTGAAACGCAACATCTCGTGTACGATGCTCGACCATCTATTGGAAGGATGAAATGCTCATCTCGTTCCACCAACCCCAAGCGTCCCAGTCAACAAGCTATTCCCTAACCAGGGGCCTGTTTCAGTCCTATTTTTTAACCTTGTTGTGACGGTGATCATGGGGTAATCGCAGCAAGAAGGTATACACGGTCAGGGTCTCATCGGCCGAATCGGTCTGACCCTCCATTAGGAAGCTTGTCGCTGGCCCTCTGGGTTTCACGAACCAAATTCCTCGAATCATAGTGCCAAGGCCGGCATCCCAATCGGCAAACCATTGCCGATGGAAGCTGCCGATTGAATCCGGGGGTGCATTATTGGAATATCCCAGGAAGATCCCAGGCTACACGTCCAATTATGCATGATTTCAACTTACTGAAGAATCCCGATGTAACCTCTTTGGGTTGCGGCACTCGATATCCCGTGAAAGAGCATGAGATTCACTTCATTTCACGTCGAGGCTCATCATTTCCCTTGTGCGTTTCAGAAAGCTCCCAAAATTCCACCAAAGGGATTGAAAGGGGTGGATAATAAGAGCGGTGTTTTGTTCATCGCTAAGAGACATATATAAAGCTTGGCATATGAACCTCATCGTAGGAGTTGCTGGACACAACCATCAAGTCCACATTCATAGAGCCGATTGAAAACATCTTTGCACCTTTGAGAATCCCTCTAGTCTCTAGCCACGATGACTTTGTCCGTCTATGCTCTCTTCGGTCTCTTGGCCGGCGCCTCAGCCGTGACCACCACCCTCCCCAAGTCGTCTGGAGTTGCGTCTTACCCGACCGCCATCCCCGTGAGCGGCTCCTACGATGGAGGCATGAAGCGCTTTGAACGCAGCCGTGAGTATTTCAGTCCATCCCCAAGTAAGCCTAAACAGGTTTGTTGACTGTATGGACAGCTGCTGTTTGCCAGGGACAGACAGAGACAGGCGAGAAGGATGCCATGTTCATCCTCGAGAGCGGAGCGACTCTCTCCAACGTCATCATCGGCGCCAGCCAAGCCGAGGGTGTTCACTGCAAAGGCACCTGGTACGAATCCCACCATATCCCCTCTTCTCTCCTGTGAATATGTTTTTCCTTCTGACACCTCCCCGGCAGCACCCTCAACAACGTCTGGTGGGCCGACGTCTGCGAGGACGCCGCGACCTTCAAGCAGTCCTCTGGAACCTCGTACGTCAACGGCGGCGGCGCCTTCAAGGCCGCCGACAAGATCTTCCAGTTCAACGGCTTCGGCACCGTCCAGGTCAAGAACTTCTACGCCAACGACTACGGCAAGCTCTCGCGCAGCTGCGGCAACTGCTCCAACAACGGCAAGGCGCGCAACATCGTCATCCAGGACTCAGTCGCCGTCAACGGCGGCGTGCTGTGCGGCATCAACACCAACTACGGCGACACGTGCAAGATCACCAACTCGTGCCAGAACAACAACAAGTCGTGCGACCGGTACACGGGCAACGCGAGCGGCGCCGAGCCGTCCAAGATTGGGTCCGGGCCCGACGGGACCTACTGCACGACCTCGGGATTTACCACGAGCTGTTAGGTTGGCCGAGGGGTTTGGCCTTGAAACGTCAGCTGGTGAGGCGAGTGGGTTTGCGTTGCTCCTCCGTGGATGTGGTTATCTTCCGTTTCTCGAGCGTAGTTCTAATATACTTCCAATTGATCCCCTTGGATCGCTCTGGATTCGTCCCGACACTAATATATGACTACAAAGTAATTGTCTCCAATCATGCCAACATCTTAATTGCAGGAGCCAAATCTTGGAGCTGTCTTGGCCTCCGTAGCAATCGTGACTGTCCTGTCAGCTTGTCCCCGGTCCAGTCTCATGGCGGCCGTATGTCGGAATCCTGCTCGGCCTTGTTCGGCGAAGTGAAGCCGCGACCACAGAAATTCAGCGCTCGGAGCATTGAAACTCTATCTAAATGAACGCGAACGCCGCTTACCTACTTTAAAAATCAATTGGCAATCAATTGGTAAGAAGCTATCAAACGTAGTACCCCGCAACCAGCGGGCAAGCATCGCCGCCTCTGTCGCCGCACGCCCTCCGCAACTCCCGATAAAACAACGCCTTCCTCTGCATGCGACTCATCAAGAAAAACTCATCATAATTCAGCAGAAACAAACCATAAAATAGCTAATCTCACTATGTCAAACGAAGCACGCCCTCCATTCCCCCCATTCAATGCCGAGTCGGCCAAGGTCAAGGTCAAGGCTGCCCAAGATGGATGGAACAACAAGTAAGCCCGCAGAGTTCTACGTGACTCACCTACCTTCTCAACAAATAGGCCGCAAATCTAATGGAATTCTGTCAAAGAAACCCAAGTGGTGTGAAGATGGCGTACACTCCAGACTCCATCTGGCGGAACCGTGACCAGTTCCTCCAGGGTCGCGATGAGATTGAGGCATTCCTCTCCAAGAAGTGGGAGAAGGAGAACGGATATCGGCTCCGCAAAGAGCTGTTTGCATTCACCGACAACAAGGTACGTAGAACGGCTCCGAAGACGCCGGGGCCGCGCTCTTGGCCCGGTATCCCCCGCCCCTTCAACAATGAATGCCGACTTACCGTGCGTCATCTCCAGATTGCCGTTCAGTTCTGGTACGAGTGGTACGATGAATCCGGCCAGTGGTGGCGTACGTACGGCCTCGAGGACTGGACATTCGCCGACAACGGCCTGATGAGGAAGCGCCAGATGAGCGGGAATGATGTCAAGATTAGCGAGGAAGAGAGGTGGTTCAAGGACGGAGTGGACGTCAACGAGGTCGACATATCCGAGAAACACTGGTAGATAGCCCAGATAGCCATGCGCCGTTGCATCCCACGCTGGCCTTGTAACGCTTCGCATGTCTCATAAGCAACCTTGATAAGAAATAAATAGTCTCTCCCATCGCATAGCATCACAAAAGCAAGCACGTTCTCCTTTTGACATTGAGGCCGCCTCCCACCACTCACCAAGCAAAGATGCACCTCGTGGCTCGCCTGCAGGTTTCTCCTGGCGGCAAAGAGGGGATAACTTGGGTTTCGTGTTCAGCTTCCAAAAAAGGCTCCCTCTGCCCCTCCTGAACAGTCACTCTCCACCAGTTACTTACTGTACGCCGCATACCGCCAAGTGGGGGTCTTGATCGCTTGAAGCCAGTCGATGGAGAAGATTCAAGCCAGACCATGTCGCCCCCCCGCCTTATCGATGCTAGTTCACCCACGTCCTCCGCCAGCTACAGATTATCATGTTGCATCTTTACTTTTTCGATGGATCTAATAATATTTTGATCAATTTTTTTGGGTCGCGTCTTGCGTCTTGAGGATGTATAATTGTCACTTACCTTG